GCCAGCATTTGTGCTACTTGGCTAGTGTTTGGTATAATAAGAATGATGCCATCAGTGAAGCAGAGGTGGTGTAGTTGCCGACCATCTATGTTCACTCCCATTCCTTCCCAACCCAGTCATCACATGATGTTCTCGAGGGTGGCACTGAAAAGTTTCAGTGAAATGGTATCACCCTGCTGAGCCTCTTCCTTGTCATGGACGATGACTTCCTTATATAATGGTGAGATCCTGGTAGTGAATCCGTAATACAGCTCACGAAGTATCCTGATGTATTGAGTTTGAATGCCATTTGGCTAGGGCTTCGATGAATGCTTCCATCTCAACTGAATCAAAGGTCTTCTTTAAACCAACGAATGTTAGACAGAGTGGCATCTTGAATTCCCGAGAAACTTCAATGTGCTTGGTTATCATCTGGATATGGTCGATTGTGCTGAATCCTTTGCAGAACCCAGCTTGCTCACATGGTTGTCCTTCATCTAGTGTTCTGCCAATCCTATTCAGGATGACTCGAGTGAACAGCTTGTAGATGACAGAAAACAGGCAGATCAGGCAATAGTTGCCAATATCGTGGATGTCTCTCTTCTTGTACAGTAGTACAGTCCTGCTGGTTTTCCATTGGGACGGAACCTTGCATTCAGACAGGTAGTGTGTGAAGAGTCGAGCCAGTATATTGATGAGTACTGGTGGCAGGTTCTTCAGGTGTTTGGGTCTGACCTTGTCTGGGCTGGGTGCTGTTCGCTTCTTTACCGACGAAACGGCGTGTTGGATTTCAGAAAGGAGAACATTGGGAATGACATATCCATCCTACAGAATTTGGTATGTGGGCAGGTGGACGTGGCTATCTAAGAGATCCAACTAGAAGTCATGGATAATCTTCTCCATGGAAGATGTGATAGATGTGATATCTCAACAAAGCTGAACAAAATAAGAATAAGAATAAATATACCAAAAATGAGAAAAAGAGAGAGAGTGAGGGAGCCAGTCCAAGTGGTAGGGGCCAGGCCTAGCATGCACCAGGCCCTGAGTTCAACCACCTCCACAAGGGAAAAAAAAGAAGGAAAGGAAAAACAGGAAAGGAGAGGTAACAGAATATATACAAAAAGAAGCAACAGAAAGAAGTCAGTGATCCCTTCCAGGGAGCACCAAAGATGCAGGAACTGCCCTGGGTGTGGGGAGTGGGGGTCCCTGGCCCCCAAAAGTTCTTGCTGGCATACAGATGTCCTTGATCCTGACCCAGCATCCCATAAGTTCCCCCCAGCACTGGCAGGAGTTATCCCTTAGCACAGAGCAGGAGAAAGCCCTAAGCATTGTCAAGAAGAGAAAGACAGAGAGAAGAAGGAAGGAAGGAAGGAAGGAAGGAAGGAAGGAAGGAAGGAAGGAAGGAAGGAAGGAAGGAAGGAAGGAAGGAAGGAAGGAAGGAAGGAGCAGGCACAGTCTAAGGTTGAATAGATGGGGTTTTTTTTCCAGTAAAACCATTTGATTCCTGTTACTTCCAGGACATAGAACTCGTTTTTGACAAAAGAAAACGAAAGCGTGGCTATGAACACGCATGCCTGAACACCTTCGCGGAGCTGCCCAGTGTGTTTATGTTGGGGCTGGAGGGATACTCCGGGAAGGGACGCGCCTGGGCGGGACGCGTGGGGGAGGGGCGCAGACTCGGCCTGACCCCCGCGCAGGGGCGGGGCTGGAAACCCTGTGGCCCTGTGGGGAGAGGGTGGAGGGCGTTCTCGCCGGCGCAGACTGGGGTACCGGACAGTCACCCCACAACGTCCTGGGAGCAGCCAGCAAGGCGTTCAGGTAGGGGCTAGGGAGGGGAGGGACCCCAAGGCCTCCGCAGATGGCCTGGAAGGGACAAGGGTGTCGACCAGCGGACTCTAGGATGGGGGGCGGCGGCGGGGCAGCCCCGCAGACCCTCTTTCATCATCTCCAGGACAGTGCAGGGCCGTGGGCCCCGTGCCCGGTCTGCAGCCACTCTCTCCTGGGTCCGCTCAGCTCCCTGGGCCTGACCTCTCCATCCCGCTGCTAGAAGCTGACAGTTGCTCCTTCCCACGCTCGCGGGCGCCCCCTGGCGCCCCTGCAGGCGGAGCCCGCAGCGCCTTGACCTTGTACTTCCAGGGGCCCTTTCCCTGGTCCTCTGCCTTACCGTGAATTACCGCGTGTTACCGTGAGTTACCCTCAAAGGATGATGCGGCCCACTCCACTCACTGGAGGCTTCTCCCCGGCCTTAAGGGCGAACTTAAGAGAAAAGGAGAAGGGCTGGTGGGCACAGTGAACTATAATAATGATACGGATTAAGCAGCTCTTGCATAGGATCCCTGAGCACCGCGGGGTGTGGCCCAAAAACAGAAAAGAAAAAAAAAAAAGAAACTCATACACCTAAAAATGTATTTCTCCTTCCTGCTTTGATGAGCGCCTCGACTCTCATGCCGAATGGAGGCAGCCACTGGCCTCGTGTCTCCTTATGGCTGTGGACAAGGCTGGTCAGACTGAACCCTGGAATGTTGTTAAAAGCCCCTGCGGTCCCCCCAGCTCCCCAACACTCACAGCCCTTCACAGGACCCCAAGGCCAAGGTCACCAACCCTCATAACCAACCAATTGCTGGTGGGGCCAGTGGAGGACACACGAACGGCTCCTCAGTTGTCCAGAACACTCAGTAGTAGGTGTTGGAAAGTGAGAACAGAGTCCACACCAACTCTCCTCTTCTTCTACAGTTGTCTCTAGGTCAAGACCATCTCCAGAGGAGGAAGCAGGAAGTGAAGCCAGAACCAAGGAGGAACAGCACTGTTCTGAGTGCACTAGGGAGAGCTCATTAGTCCTCACAGTCCATAAGCATAGAGCCTGAGAGGAGAGAGAGAGAGAGAGAGAGAGAGAGAGAGAGAGAGAGAGAGAAAGTGACCCCTTAGCACAAAGCAGGAGAAAGCCCTGAGCATTGCCAGACGTCCCTGGAAAGAAGAGAAAGTGGGAGGAATGGAGGGAGGGAGAGAGGGAGGGAGGGAGGGAGGGAGGGAGGGAGGGAGGGAGGGAGGGAGGAGGGACAAATGAAGGAAGGGAGAAATGAAGGAAGGAAGGAAGGAAGGAAGGAAGGAAGGAAAGAAGGAAGGAAGGAGGGAAGAAAGGAAGAAAAGGAAAAAAGGAAGGAGGAAGAAAGGAGGGAGAAAGGGAAGGAGTAGGGGAGAGAGAAAGAGAGGGAGGGAGAGAGGAAAAGGAGAAAGGAAGGGAGAGGGAAAGGACAGGGAGGACCTGCCTATAATAATTAGGAACCTTGTTTCTCATACTAAAGAATAATATCTCTGAGAACTTACAGAATTGACTTCGATGAAATACTTAGTATTTTGGGGATGAACCAATTATACATTTGGTAGGGTAATTGCCTTGCATGCAACCAACGCATTTTCGTTCCCAGCACCACATATTAGCCCCCTGAGCCCACCAGGAGTCATCCCTGAGCACCACCCGGTGTGGTCCAGAAAACAGAAGGAAGGCAGGATGGGAGGACGGGAGGGAGAGGTCAGCATGATGGTATCACAAGGAGGACACTTGTCTCGCACACACCTGACCAAAGTTCAATCGCCAGCACCCTATAGCGTCCCCTGAGTTCTGTCCAGAGTGGTCACCGAGCACAGAGTCAAGAGTAGGCCCTAAACACTACCTAGTTTGACTCTAAGCCCCTAGAGAAAGTTTGGCTACAGATAACCCTAATTGTTAGCGTTTTTTTGTTTGTTTGTTTGTTTGTTTGTTTGTTTTGCTTTTGGGTCACACCCGGCATTACACAGGAGTTACTCCTGGTTCATGCACTCAGGAATTACTCCTGGCGGTGCTCAGGGGACCATATGGGATGCTGGGAATCGAACCCAGGTCGGCCGCTTGCCAGGCAAATGCCCTACCCACTGTGCTATCACTCCAGCCCCTAATTGTCAGCATTTTCTATTCATGTGAATGCACACCCACTGTCCCAAGGAGGACACCAAGGCACAGAGAGGATTCCTCTGACACGGAAAAAGGCCCCTCCTACAGGTGGAGTCTGCTGAGGAAGTCAGGGTGTTCGAGGACCTTTGATGGACACCCCCACTCCACCCTCTTCTCATGGCACCGAGACCCAGGGGTGACGCCTGCCCTTTATCTCCCTTAGGGGTTCCCTCAGGAACCATGTCTTCCTTGTTCAAGAGGGACACCACAAGCCTGGTCAGAGAGCTGGGCAGGAAGGGTGAGCTGGTGCCTGTGGACAGCCTGACCAGCGCCCCTCGCCTACGCCCCTTCTGCCTGGTGAGGAAGAAGCACAGACGCCACCCCTGGCCTTGGGACACCCCGGTCATCCCCACAGAGTACTCACTCATGGACGTGCTGGAGCCCGGCTCCCCAGACCCAGGTACCTTTGGAGGGACTGTGGGTGGCGAGGGTAGGGGCGCTACTGAGGACAGCTGAGGGGAGATGATGCCCGTGGCCTAACAAGCAGATGCCCGCTGGGCAGGCATGCAGAAGCTCATGGGCAGAGAAGATCCTGGACACCTTCTCCCGCAATATGGGGTGATGGGAAGGGAAACCAGTGTCCTCCTCTGGTTCTTGAGCAGACAGCAGTGACGATGGTCATTTCATAGGGCAGCAGTGGCTGACATGGGTGGGGGTCAGCTGCATGTTTTTGCTTCTATCCTGGCAGTCACCAGGAGGAGGAGGCCCCATCTCTCTTCTGTACCTTGGTTCCCTTCCATAAATGGGGAGTTAGGGGCTGGAGACACAGTGCAGTGGGTAAGAGCTTTCCTTGCACATCGACCACATCTGTTCAATCCCCAACTTTGCATATGGTTCCAAAAGCACTGTCAGGAGTGAATCCTGAGCACCACCAGGTGTGGGCCCCTTCCCATCAAAATAAAAGCCAAGAGAAAAAAAAGCCAAACACATAGATGGAGAAGCCAACCCAAGATAGCCTGGCATGACCCAGATCCCCCTCCTAACCTCTCTCCCCCCAGAGGTAAGCCAGAGTCAGCCCATCCATATCCAAGAGATGGCGACAGGAGCAGGGACAGGAGTCCCAGGCGTAGGCTCCGGGCCACAGGGACAGGCCATGGGAACCAGCAAGGGGACCCGCGGTGCCAAGCTGGCTGTGAAGACCCTCAGTGTTTCCCCCAACACCTGGGAGACCCTGGTGGAGCAGAGGTGAGTGGGTCGGGGAGTGCCTTCTCTGCTGAGGCCCACCTGGGTCCTTCCAGCCTGGCGTAGGAAGGGCAGGAAGGGGGAGGCAGGAGAGAAAAGCCCAGTGAGGAGTGGGGAGCCGGGAGCCTGCTCTTACCAGCGGAAGTAGGACCTAGGGAAGAAAGCATCGGCAGGTCAGAGTGACTGATGTGAGGAAGGACGCAGGTGCCATGGGCTGAGGAGGGGACCTTGGGCATGGCAAGGAGCAGCTTCTTGGTGTTGCTCAAGGTTGTCAGGAAGGATATGAGCTCAACAGTTAGAAATCGGGACTGGAGCAATAGCACAGCAAGTAGGGCATTTGCCTTGCACGCCATCGACATGGGTTTGATTCCCAGAATACCATATCATACCAGAATACCCCAAGCACCGCCAGAAGTAATTTCTGAGTGCATGAACCAGGAGTAACCTCTGTGCATTGCTGGGTGTGATCAAAAAGCCAAAAAAAAAAACCCCAGAAATCAAGGGGTGGATGGGGTGGGTGATTTTTTAATGTTGAATGGATGGATGGGTGGGTGGATGGATGCATGCATTTAAGAAAAAGGGAGGTGGAAGATAGGTAATAAAGGATGATAGTTTGGAACCAGAGTTAGGTAAGGCTAGCAGGTAAGGTGTTCACTTGTATGCAGCCAACTAGGACTGGACTCCTGACATTATGGTCCCACAAAGCCTGCCAGAAGTCATCCAAGAGCACAGAGTCAGGAGTAAATCATGGTTATAGAAAGGTTTCATTTCATTTCATCATCCTGTTATTCGTCGATTGCCTCGAGCAGGCCCCAGTAACGTCTCTTTCATCCTAGCCCTGAGATTATATTCAAGGCTCTTTAGGAGAATAAGACCCATCATTGTTACTGGTATTTAGCATATTTGGTACGCCACGGGGAGTTTGCCAGACTCTGCACTGTGGGCAGGCTACATTCGGTAACCTGCCAGTTTGTCCAAAGTAGGAATGAGATAATAAGATGTCATAAAAAAGATGTCCTGATAAGATGTCGCGCGGCTGCAAATGCTGGTTCCGGGAGCTGGATTTTATAGTCTCTGAGTCTTGGCCGTTGATGGGATTACACGGCGCCAGGGGGCCAGGTGGTGGGTGTGACCCCCGCCTACTGGAATTTGGAAGATCTGGGTGGAGGATGCTCGACTTCAATCCGAGTAGGCTTGGAAATCTCGGCCCCGGAACCCGCGTGGATTTGTCCCTCTGCCAGTACCTTCAAGTGTGCGGAGAGTGGTCTCAGCATGGTGGTGGCTGGTCCTGGAGGTCTTTGGCTGCCGGAGCCCTGGTCGGGGCGGGGAGGAAAGCTCAATCCACTCCCCTCCAAGGGGCCCCAGCGAGGAACAGCCAGGCGCGGGGGCAGGAGACTGCACTGTTCTCGTCCGGGAGCTGGATTTTATAGTCTCTGGATAGCTGGATTTTATAGCCGTGTAATCCCATCAACGGCCAAGACTCAGAGACTATAGAAAGGTTAAAGAAGATAAATCAAAATTCGAAGTGAGACAGAGGACAAGTGATAGAGACAAATGCAGACAGATGCTGAAGAGAAGATAGAGGACAGACTAGAACAAAGGAAGAGAGGTCAGAGAGAGAGAGAGAACAAGGTTTCAAGTCCTTGCCTTGCATGTGATCGACCCTGGTTCAATTCCTGGCACCACACTTGCTCCGTAGTAAGCCCTGAGTTGGGTGTGGTCTGAAAACAAAACAAAAAAATTAAATAAGAGATGATAGCAGATCAATGCTAGATAGTAGATTATAGATAGGGATAGGGGATTGAAAGAAGACAGACCAAAGACAGATGGATTGATAGATCAATAAATGACAAGTTAGATAAGAGAAGATAAAAAATGAGAGATTCTAGATAAATGATAGAAAGTCCATAAATCATGGAAGACAGAAGGAGGAGAAAGTTTGCAGTTTTGATGGGAAATCTGAATAGTCTCCACCTTTCTTTCAATCAGCTCCTTTTGCTGAAAGCCAGTGGTCTCTACCTTAATTATTTTTATCATTATTATTATTATTATTTGCTTTTGGGGTCATACCTGGCAATGCACAGAGCTTACTCCTGGTTCTGCACTCAGGAATTACTCCTGGCAGTGCTCTGGGGACCATATGGGATGCTGGGAATTGAACCTGGGTTGGCCGCGTGCAAGGCAAACGCCCTACCTGCTGTGCTATCACTCCAGCCCCTGCCCTGTTTATTTTTGATTTTCCCCACATTCTTAGCTTCCCCAGGCACCTGGACTGGCCTTAAGTGCGCGGGCCCTAACCACAGGCCCCACCTTCAGTCCCTCTCCCTGCCTTCCTCCCTGAACTCATGAGCCCTAGCCTAGCCGGGAGCCTGGGGCTGGGGAGGGAGTACTGGGAGACCCCTTCCATCTCTGCTTCTTCTCCTCTCTCCCCGTACCCGTACCCCCGTTTTCAGGAAGGTGAGGGTGCCGCGGCCCCCATTCCTGCAGAACCGGGAGGAGACGGAGAGCCTATATGTAGTGACGGAAGCGGTGGAGACCGTGCAGGACAGCCGGCCGCAGAGCAAGACAGAGGGTGCGGGGCAGTCGGCCCTCCTCAAGGTGCAGACTCCACCCGCCCCGCCCTCCCCTCCCGAGTTGCTGTCCAGCTGAGGATCACTCTGGCTGCCTAAGGGGACAGGGTCGGGCGCACATGTGCCGAGGTTCTTGCCTCCACGTGTCAGATTCCTTTGGAGAGATGTGTTTAGTGTTTGGCACATTGGTGGTGGGGTTTGCGTTTGTTTGGAGGGAAGACGGGTCTCCCACATATCATCCAGCTGGGTGTCTCATGAGAAGGTCTAAGGCTGGGGCTGGGGACCACCAAGGGGCTGTGTGGTGCTGGGAACTAGACTCCTACTGTCTCCCAGCCCCTGGACAAATCTGTCTGTTTTTAAAATACTGTCATCCAGGGCCTGGAAGAGAGCTCAGGTATTAGAGCACAACCTTCACTTGCCAAAGTTTTGAGTTTGACCTCTGACCCCTCAGCGTCCCTGAGCAATGCTGGATGTGGCTCTTGTTGGCCCAGAGCACCACTGGCTTGTGTACCGTACCAAGTCTCCCCAGGAGTGGCCCTTTAAAAAAAAGTTTAAATAAATAAAAAACACTGACATATAGACACTTGCTTCCCACTCCCTGCCCACCATCCAGCCATCTTTCAATTGTTCTGGATTTTTTTAATTATTTTTGGGCCACACTCAGCTGTGCCCTGAGTGAGTCCCCTGCACGTGTGCTACCCCCATCCCCCTGCCCCGCTTTGTGCTCAGGGATCACCCTTGCTGGGCTCAGGGAACCATATGGAGTTCCAGGGATTAAATAAAGGTTGGGTGGAAGGTAAGCACCATACCCGCTGTAGCATGGCTCCAGTGCTCAATTCCGAGAGAAAACACAGTCCTGGATATTTTCTAACTCTCCCAAGTGATTCTTGAGGGCTGCCAGTATGGTGAGGGTCCCCATGCGGGAGGACTGATATCAACCTTGGTTGTGGGTTGCCAGCTCAGAACTCCAGCTCTGCCAGGCTGACTGGGTATCTGAGTTAAGTTGCATGGCCCCGAATCTGAGGGACATCCTCCATGAGCTATAAGTAGACTGGAGACTGTTGTGTGACTATTCGTTCAGTGTTCAGTCGGAGGTGTTGAGAGAAGGAACTCGAGAGAAATTATTTTTCACAGAGGGTCTGGATTCGCTCAGATCCTGGGACAAAGGTAGAGCGTCCTGAGATGATCTTTTATTACCATCCTACAACCATACACACTTCTAAAGAACTCAATACAGTGACGCCATCAATAAAGAAGTTACAGAAAGAACATGCAAAGTCAAAAGCTTTTGGGGGGGGGGGCTATAAGTATCTGGGATCTGCATACTAAAAACAAAGAGGCTAAGTAAGCGCCTGGGATCTGTGAGAAGAAGTCTCACAATGGAGATGTTACTGGTGCCCGCTTAAGCAAATCAATGGACAACGGGAGGACAGTGTTACTGAAGGCTGGAGCGATAGCACAGCAGGTAGGGTGTTTGCCTTGCACGTGGCTGACCTGGGTTCAATTCCTCCATCTCTCTCAGAGAGCCCAGCAAGCTACCGAGCGTATCCCGCCCACACGGCAGAGCCTGACAAGCTCCCCATGGCATATTCGATATGCCAAAAACAGTAGCAACAAGTCTCACAATGGAGAAGTTACTGGTGCCTGCTCGAGCAAATTGATGAACAATGGGAAGAAAGTGCTACAATGCAGTGTGAAGGCAGCTTAAAAGAAAGAGATGTTTATTCTTATCCAAACCAGCCTGGACACACAAGTAATCTCACCCATTTTCATGGATCCCATGTTCCTGCCCATTAGCGGGACAGTCTAACCAGGCTCATCCTGACAGCCTCGTCCAGCCCCAACAGGAGACAGACAGTGAAGATGAGGCACAACTGGGGAGAGAAATGCAGGGGCACAAAACCAGGCTTCCTCCCACCTGGCTTCAAATTCTGCTGCTCAGTTGGGCACTCCAGCATTCTGGGCCTGCCCTTGAGAGCTCGGAAAGTTGGAGCACCACCCCCCGCCCCCCAACACCATCACCAGCAGCATTCTGCCAGCTGCAGCCTGAGAGAGAGAGAGAAGTTGGGACATAGGTGCAGGATTTGCTCTGCACAACCTTCCTCGTCTGCCCCTCCCAGGAGGCTTGGCGGGTTGGTTCCCATGGCAGGTTTTACAGACGCAGACACCTGGAGTGCAAGGCATAATGCTCCCTTCCAGGCAGCACAGGACGGGTAAGTGGAATCCAGCTTCAATCCAGTCAGCTCAACAGCAGCGCCTCGGAACAGGGCAAGGGTTTGGTCCCCCGCCACACCCCAGGGGGTGGAGGAGAAGACAGAGGGTCACCTCCGTGGTGAAGCCATTGGGGATAAAGTCCTTGCTGGGGGTCTTTTGCTGCATGGACACTGCAGGGCACTTGGGAGCCTGGTTTCTGTGAGGGGGAGAGTGGTTGTCCGTGTTTCTGAGACTTGACCTTCCCAAGACGATCCGTGCAAAGTAACAGGAAGTCAGTAAGTCGTGCGACATGTGAGTGATGGGAAACCAGTGCAGTGGTTCTGTAGGGAGAAATGGGTCCAGACATCTTACCCAGGGCCCTTGCTCTGTCCTTTTTTGTCCCTCAGTCACTCATGCTTGTTTCCAGTTTCCACCTCATAGCCCAGTGCTGTGTGTGTGCCTAGTTCACCCCACCTTGGGTCTAGCCTCCAGACTCACTGTGCTGGAAATGTGGGGCCAGATGCCCCTGCCAGCTCCTCCTCTCCCCTCAACCGCCAGAATCCACTATTGTTCTCCTTGTCTTCTGAGTGTGTTCGGGCTTAGTTGTCTTTCTTCTATTTGTTGGCTGTGCCTTCCACCTGAGCCTGACATAACCGTGTTTGACTCAATTGGCTAAAGCATGCCACCGTCCAGTGGCAGTGTTGTTCTTGTCAGTGGCCGTGGGGTCTCTGCCCATCTTGTGATTGGGCAGGACTCCTTTGAGTATAGCCTCTGTTGTGCATCCATCTGTCTATGGGTGCTGGGGTTGTTACCAACCTTGTCCCTGAGTCATGCTGTGAGGAGAAGGGGTTGGATGGTATCCAACTCGTCACTTTCATATTCTCTGGGGAAATATTCAGAAGTGGTGAAGGTGGGTCACATGCTGTTCTTAAAATTGGGGAGGGTGGGGAGGGAAGGTCTAAGCCACCCTAGGCAGTGCTAAGGGACTATTCCTGACTCTGTGGTGATGCTCAGGGTTCCATAGGTGGGGTCGTGGGCATTCAATGAGGGTAGGCCATATGCAAGGCAAATACCTTAACCCCTGCACTGTCTCTGGCCCTCATGAGTTCTTCTTCTCCTCCTCCTCCTCCTCCTATTTCTCCTTCTCCTCCTCCTCCTCCTTCTCCTCCTCCTTCTTCTCTTTCTTCTTCTCTTCCTCCTTCCACCTCCTCCTCTTCATCTTCCTCCCCCCTTCTCCTCCTCTTCTTCCTCCTCCTTCTCCTCTTCCTCCTCCTTTTTCCATAATGGCCACATACCTGTGTATTCCCCCCAATAGCGTACAAGAGCTCACCTCTCCCCATGCATGTTTCTCTCATTGCTATTATCAGTGTGGGTTTAGGACTTGTCCATTTGGAGCAGTGCCCAAGGCTTGGTGTTTGGTGTTTCACTGTGAAGCCCACACACTGTCCATTCAATGCTCCTTCTCTTCTGGTAATAGCCCATCTGACTAGTGCTGAACCCCACCCCTCCACCCCTGCACTGGCCCCCTGCTTCTTGTAGGTTTGCGGTCCCTGTGCAGGACCATTTTAGAGCCAGCATGTCTCCCTGGACACAAATGCTTTTGACTTATTTTCCGAGTCACTGTTGTGTGTGCAGACTGCTGGAAAAGATGTTATATCTGCGACCCCTGTCCTCCCCTTCAGCCCCTACCCCCCTCCTCGGTAGACCGCTGCAGACCCTTCCCTGTCTCCCCACCCCCGCTGCCATCTGCCTCCCAGGACCCCTTCCTACAGGCTCCAGAGTCATGTGGGCCTGTGGTCATGACACATCCTCCCACCCAGGTGCCCACGGACAAAGCAGAGATTGTCCCAGAGGGCAGCATCATGGCCTACAGGGTGCTGCGGCTGGTGATCAAGGAGGATCGCTGGGGTAAGTGGATGTGCAGGGCGGGGTCAGGAGAGCTGGGGGCAGGGGCCACTTCTCTGAGTGGCTGAGGCCCCCAGAAACCAGTCTGCAAATGATGTGCAGTTCCTCTAGGACTGCTGAGCAAGCAGGGATGGCTCCTGCCCCAGCCTGCTGCCCCATCTGCCCTGCGTGGGGTGCATTTAGGCAGATGTGGGCATGGCCTGCATCTGGGGGTGAAGTGCACTCTGGATGCCTGGCCCTGACCCTCCGCGCTGCAGGAAAGGCCTTGGTTGGGTGGGGAGCAGGAAGAGGGAACTGGAGACACCCCAAATCCTCCTGGAAGGAGCAGGAATTAAAGACTCCAGGGCATTAAGAGGTGAGCTTGGCAGCTGTACCGTTTGTCACCAGGGGGTCCTGCACCATCACCTTAGGGTGCAGTTCCCAGCACGCTGGACTGTCAGGGCTCCAGCACTCTCAGTTGTCGGGGGCCCAGCACCCACAGCTACCAGAGCCCAGCACGCCCGGCTGTTGGGACCCCAGCTTGCTTGGTCATCAGGGGCTCCCGCTGCCCCCTCTCCCAGGCTGGTTGAGCTGGGAAAGAGCGACAAAGATGCCTCCCTGAGCTTGGCTCCCTCCTCCCTGTGCCCCCCACAGCTGTTCTGCACCTGCCCAAAGGCAAATTCTGCGGAGACACTTGGAGAGGTGAGCGCCGCCACCCAGCCCCCAGCCTCAGCTGGAAGGCCCCTTCCCACAATGCCACAGTTGGGTTCTTGGGGTCCCTTCTCTCCTCTCCCATCCCCATCACTACAGAGGCAGTGAGGACCATCAGGGTAGGGACAGGTCAGAAGCACAGAATGATCATGGGTAGAAGAAGAGGTGTATGTGTGTGTGTCTGTGTGTGTGTGGGGGGGGGGGTGTTAGCCTCCTGCACCTCTCAGGGCTGTCCCCCACACAACCTTCCTCTGACACTCAGGATCCTGGTCCCCACCTCACCAGCTTAGGGGGATCCAGGATGAATTCTGGAAGGTTCTGAGAGGCAGGTTGGGCCATTAGCAAGACGGGGTTAGGGAGAAAGGAGAAGGGGTGTCACCCACCCAGCCCTGCAGCCAGGGTGCTCGGGTCACACACAGGAGCCCTGACTTCACCCTCCTGGGGGCACGGAGCAGCTGAGCAGAGAGACCAGGAGAAACCCGAGTGGGACTCTCCTGAGAGGGCAGAGTGGTCCCCACCACCCCCGCCCCTCCCCCCACCTGCCTCCCTCCCCCCACAGGCCCTGACTCCGACTGGACCCAGGGCAAGGAGCCCGGCTTTGAGGCCCTGCAGCAGCAGCTGGGGGCCCAACTACAGGACCTGGCCACGCTACCCCCGGAGATGAGGCTCACACTGTTGGGGGCCCTTCAAGAGCTGCTCCGGACCCCTGAGGCCCTGCAGAAGCTGGAGGACTCAGTAAGGGGCGCAGGGGCCAGAAGAGTGGGGGAGGGGAGGGAGTGGCGGGTGGGAGGCCTGGAGGGGAGTGATGACCACCGCTTGCTCCCTCCCGCTCCTCCTCTGCAGCTGGAGAAGGTCTTGGATGTCGGGGAGCTGGAAGATCTGGGGGGCCCCGGTGGCCTCGTCCTGAGCACCCTCCAGGACCCGGCAGGGAGCCTGCTGCCCTCCAAAAGTAGAGCCATCCTCTGCATTCTCGGCGCACTCGTGGGTGAGAGCAGTTAGAGGACCTTCAGCCCCGAGAAGCCACCCCACCCCTGCACAGAGCCGCGCAGAGCATTCACCTGGCATTTGTTCCAGAAGGCTCTCGGGTGCCCAGGATGCCCGGGTGCCAGAGTCAGCAGGGCCCCTTCTTCTGGCACCGGTGGCCCAGGCTCTGCGGCCTGCTCAGAGAGTCAGGGGTCTTTGTCCCCTAGCACCCCCTTCCTGAGCCAGGAGAGAACGTGGCAGGAGATTGGGGGGCTGGCAGCAGGCTGAAGGCAGAGCCCTCTGCAGACAGGACGCCTGGAAGGCTGCGTATGTGGCAGGGGCGTCCTTGGGCACGTCTAGTGCTGCAGGCTGACAGCTCCCCGGAACCCTTGGCCGTGCATACCTCTCTCCCCCCCAGTCCCCCCACACCTCTATGACTCCCATCCTGGGTCTAAGCCTACCTCAGGGCCTTGGCACAGGCTGTCCTTTCCCCCAGAGAACCACAAGGCTCATCGTGCTTCTCATTGGTTATCGCTTAATGCAAGTTCCAGGAAGGGTGTGTGTGTGTGTGTGTGGGGGGGGGGGGGGGGTCACAGGATGACTCTCCAGACAATCTGCTCCCTGAGGAGGTGTCTGCATGCACCAGCATAGATGGCCCGCAGCCCCACACTCCTCCACAGAGGAGACAGAGGCAGTAGGATCAGGACTGGGAGGATGTGGGCACTGGAGGCCGGAGCTCCCCACTTGGGGTCACAATCCCTTCTGGGTAACCACCGCCTGGGCTACCCACCGGGCACTGGGCCAGCTGCTGGCTCACCAATGTGAAAGCGTTTTGTTACATGACCCCACCCCCACCCCCAAAATGATTAGTGTGGTCAGAAACTGAGTGAGCAGAAGGGTCCCCAACTCACTCAAAAGAGGAAGCAGCAGGGCTGAAGCGATAGAACAGTGGGTAGGGCATTTGCTTTGCAAGCGGCCAACCCGGGTTCAAGTCCAAGCATCCCATATGGTCCCCCGAGCACCACCAGGAGTAATTCCTGAGTGAAGAACTAGGAGTAACCCCTGTGCATCACTGGGTGTGACCCAAAAAAGCAGAGAGAGAGAGAGAGAGAGAGAGAGAGAGAGAGAGATAACAAGCAGGGTGGAGCTCACACCTTCCAGAACAATGTGGGCAGAGATGTCTCAGGGTGGCCCTAGTGGGCCTTCTCCCCATCTGAGGGTGATTAACGGGTCCTTTGTCCACTCTCTCCACAGTGCTCAGCGACACCCAACTGAATCTGCTGGCTCAGTGCCTGGAGAGGGGTCTCCTGCCCCAGCAGCTGGAGTTGGTGAGACCCCCAGGGGTGAGGGGGAACAGTGATGCAGGTGGGCTGTGGGAGTCCTGGACCAGGCCCTGCCCACAGCGTGTGACAGCAGTCCCACCACCATCCACCCTGCAGGGATCAGTGCCCAGGCAGGAGACTGTGTGCAGTGGCAAGAGGCGGGGGGTGCACAGGACAGTGTGGGATCCTCTCAAGGGTCCCCTGGAGGGAGCAAGGCCCAGAGGGGGCCGCTAGCAAGGCTGAGGGGGAGCCCTGACCCCTGCAGAGGCATCCATCCCTGGCTTTTCCTCCAGGTGGTGAACATCTTGAAGGCAACCTTTGACCTGAGGGAGGAGACCACCGTCCCCATCCCCGTCCCCCCCGAAGCCCTCTCCTCGCTGCCCAAGGAGGACGCGGCCCTGGCTCTGAGCCTGGTGGAGAGCTGTGGGCTGGAGCTGCAGGGGTTCTCTCACCCGCTCACCTGGGACCCCGATGTGCTGCCCCAGCTCTCTGCGCTCTACGGGGCCCTCGAGGGGCTGCAGCTGCTGGCCAGTCCCTGCGCCCAGCAGGTCCAGGCCTGAGGCGCGGCTGCCTCCGGAGGCTTCCGGCAACTGCTGACATGAAGCCTCCACGCATGGCCAAGACGCCCTGTGGCAACCAGGACCCCGGCTCTTTTCACCCCTTCCAGGGCTGCTCCCAGACATCCAACAACATCAGACATGGGTGGGTGGGGGGTGGACCTGTCACCTTAAAGTCCCCTCTGGAATTGGGCTCCTCCCGTGGGAAGCAGGGTAGGGCAGGTTCCAGGACAGTGGCCCTGCTCCTGGCCTCCCCCCACGGGCAACCCCTTCTGTCTCCCTGCCCCTATCCTGAGCAGGGGTGTGGCCCGGATCCCTCACTCTCATTCCTCTGCATAAAGAGCCCCCAAAGGTTGACTGTTGTGGACTGCTTCGCTGTTTCAGAGGGAATCCAGGACTCGCACCATTTCCCCTGCCTTCTTCGTCAGGCACCCGCCGTCCACCCGACCTTCCCTTTTGTCCCGTGAGAGGTGGGGCGGGTGGGAGCTGCCCACTGGTGGATCATCTAGGTCCCATGCAGTGACCTCACCCAGTAAATCCATGGTGGAGGAGGGGAGGGACCACCAAGCTTTCTTCCCATTTTGTGTCTTGGCATAAAACCATGCCAGGTTATTCCTCCCATCACCTCTCACCCCCAGAGTGGCCATCAGACCCAGCTGAAGTTCACGGGGAGTTTATGGTGAAACAAAGCTCTGTGTGTGTGTGCAAACACACGCATGTGCATGTGTGCATGAGCAGGGAAAGGATGTGCATTGAGTGTGCTGGAGCCTATGTGTGTGCACACACAGATGTGGAAGCAGAGATAGAGAGCAGAGAAACTGAGGTGACAATCCCACCAGAGACTAGGGCCAGATCTCTGATTTCCAGTTCAGTGATTTTCTCATGGGGGGGGGGGGCGGCAGGGGAATTTCCTGAGGCACTCGGGAATCCGGGCGGTTGTGGGGGAGGGGTCTCCTAGCTCTGTGCTCCAGGTCCAGGAACGACTGTGCTGGAGATCAAACCCAGACATCCCACATACAAACTTCAGGCTTTATATTAGGTCTCAGTGGTCTTTGGGGGAAGGGGCGTTGGGGGACACATCAAACAATGCTCAGGGCTTAAACTGTGCTCAGATATCACTCCTGGGTGCTTGAGGGACCATGTGGAGTGCCGGGAACCCAAGCAGGAGCAGCTGTGTACACAACAAATGCCTTAACACTGTACTGTCACTCCATCCCATTAGTGATCTTTTTATCTTAATTTTTTAAAAATTATTATTATTATGGGCTGGAGCAATAACACAGGGGGTAGGGCGTTTGCCTTGCATGTGGCCGACCTGGGTTCAATTCTTCCACCCCTCTTGGAGAGCCCGGCAAGCTACCGAGAGTATCTTGCACGCACGGCAAAGCCTGGCAAGCTACCTGTGGCGTATTCGATATGCCAAAAACAATAACAAAAAGTCTCATAATTTGTTGTGAGACGTTACTGGTGCCCGCTCGAGCAAATGGATGAACAACGGGAGTATAGTGCTACAGTGCTATTATTATAGACTTTTGGGGTTATACCTGGTGATGCTCAGGGGTTACTCCTGGCTAGTGCTCAGTGGACCATATGGGATGCTGGGGATTGAACCCAGCCAGCTGCATACAAGGCAAACACCCCACCCGCTGTACTATCACCCCAGTTCCCCACCAGTGATCTTAACTACACATAGTCAGACATAAAGAAGTGCTCATAAAGCAGAATATATGGCCTGGCTTTGCTTGCTCTCAGCAGGCTTAACTTCATATATTCTTTCCTAACTGAAAAAGCCGATCTGACAAAACAATGGTCAGCATTTAAAAAAATACAAGTTTTAGAAATGTATGAAGAACATTTTGATGGCCACAGGTATTTAACCTTTTGATATTGTTCCAAGCTTACATCTGAATGACTTTGCAGGAAAGCTCAGTGTAATAATTGCTTTTTAAAACTGCAACATCCAGCAGACAGGCGATTAAACATTCTGCGCTGAGAGGTTAAGTCCTTAGCCAGGCGAATCTTTGCAGACCTTACAGCAACCCTTGGATCACTCTTTTCTAGGAATAACGCTCCTCGTGGCACTTTCTCCAAATGCGAGCACCACTCGGGTCTCCTCTGGTGGGTCAGACATGGGCTCCCCCTTGTGGAGAAAGCAAGAATATTCCCCCATTCACCATTGCCATGTCCTGCTGGCCAGCGAATCTGTGGCCTTTTTTGCCCACTGTTCTCGTGGGCTCAGAGATGCTGATCAAAGAAATATGACTAAACAGTCACAGGAGGGTTTTCAAAGGCAGACATTGTTTACTCGCAGGTTTCAGAGGTCATTAAAGTCCTCCAGATACATAGTCTGCACTAAAGATCTGTTCCCCATTCCTGTCCAGCCATCCAGCTTGTCCCTCTGTCCGACTTCCCAACGCCAAGTCACCCCACCTTTATCTCCCTCTTCATCCTCATTCGCCTTCCTTGCCCTGAACTGCACCACACATTCATTTATCTTTTCTCTCTCAGCAGGAATCTCTCTCTGCTCTGGGACAGTCAGCGGCGTTTTCTTGTTATCTAGTGACTGGAGCAGCAGAAGCTGTGCCACCACACATGTATTTTTTGGGGGGGGGTCACACCCGACGATGCTTAGGGGTTACTCCTGGCTCTGCACTCAGGAATTACTCTTGGCGGTGCTCAGGGTCAGCTGCGTGCAAGGCAAATGCCCTACCCGCTGTGCTATTGCTCCAGCCCCCACACATGTATTTTTAAGTTCAACTTTCCCCAAGAAATGTAATTTTTTGTGTGTGTTTGAGGCCACACCTGGCAGTATTTGGGGCTTACTCCTTGCTCTGAGCTCAGGCATCATTCTGGGTGGGGCTTGAGGGAACCCTATGGGGTGCTGGGGATTGAACCCAGAAGGACAGTGTACAAGCCAAAGCCTTGCACATGGGACTATCACTCTGGGACCTTGAAGAATAACTTTTGCCTAAGATTAGAGGTGATCATAATCTCAACTGACAAGGTACTAAACTAGTTCTACAAAGTGTAACTTCTATTCACATCATCTAAGATGGAGAAAAATAATGTTACCACAAAGCAAAGGCCAAGTCTTTGGGAAGGGAACGGGCTGTCAGGAGACTCTGACCTTATGCAAGTTCCTTAACCTCTCTTAAATTGTTTTCTCTATAAAATAGGGCTTAAGAAAGAAGAGGGGCTGGAGCGATAATACTGCAGGTGGGAATTTGCCTTGCACCTGGCCGACTCGGATTCAAGTCCCAGAATCCCACATGGTCCCCTGAGCACTGCCAGGGGTGATTCCTGAGTGCAAAGACAGAAGTAACACCTGTGCATCACCAGGTGTGATCCCCCCTCCCTCCAAAAAAGCCAAAAAAAAAAAAAACAGGAAGGGAAGGAAAAAAGGAAGGGGAGGAAAGAAGGGAGTGAGGGAAGAGTCAGAGAAATGGTAGAGTACAGAAATCAAAGACACCTGTGTGAATCCAGCACCACAAGTGTCTTGAGCATTGCCAATGGTCACTCTGGGAAACAAAGCCAGGGAGTCTCTGGGCACAAGTGTGGTCCACAAACTAAGTAAAATAAGACATGATCCCTGGTCTGTGCCTTCACCCCTCAAATAGCATGTCACCATACAGCAGCCCTTCAGTAAAGCAAGTTCTGTCTAGAGAATCCCTTAAAGTCCAGCTCTTGTCCAAAGTCCTCATCAGCAGTTAGGTCAGAACAAGAATCGGCAGCTGGTGTGAGGTGTGAGGGGCGTCAAGGTCCCTGGGTTTGAGAGCTGCGGCTGACTCTCCATGTTCGGACACCTTGGTTGCCTTGGGTCACCCCCACTTGTGTGCAGCCCTTCCCTTCCCCAAGGATGGGGTACAGCCTAGCACTACTGCTGCCTTTGTGGCTCTTCCAGTTATGAGGTGGCCCAGGGGTATCATAAAACCAGTGGCAGCAAGCAGGGGGATTGGCACCTGTACAGTGGAGCCATGTCTCTGGTCCAACCATTGTCACCGCTCCACGCCCTTCCCTCCGCTGACCCCTCGCTGCCAGTTACTGTCCAAGACGCCAAGCCAGGTCTGGCTCTAAGAGTCCCATCCTGCAGCAGATGTGTCACTGCTTTCCAAGCCTAGGAAGGCCTCCACACCTGCATGATGGGCTCCACCCACTGCTCCATGCCCAAGGCCTCCTCCAGGGGTCGGGCCAAAGCTAAGAGGAGGCTCCACTCCTTTCTCACTCACATCCCCACCCCTCTGCCTGTCGACACTACCTGTGAAACACGGCCCAACTGTGCTCACTTCACACCAGACTCATTGCAAGCACATGCCATGTTTCTCGCTGTTTTAATAGTTTGTTTCTCCCCATCTCCATCCATTCTTCAGCAGCAATAGAAGCAAGAATGACCACTGCTCAATTCATTTAGTTTTAGAGCCACACTTAGCAGTGTTCAGGGCCCATGGGGCTGTTCTTGGCTCTTAGTGACCTCTGCTGATGACTGGGGACCATACGTAGGGCCTGGGTTCTAGCCAAGGTCAGTCTGCATATGCAACTGCCTCACCTATACTTTCTGGACCAACCCCTTTTTTTGGGTCCACACCTAGCACTGGGGTCAGAGCTTACTCTTGGCTCTACCTACACCCAGGATCACTCCTGACAGGCCTGGGGGACCATCGGGGTGTCAGGGATCTAACCTGGGAAAAGTGATCCTTTGCAGAAGGTGCCAGTTGTTGACCTCCTTGGAACTAGAATCTCATTGGCCACCTGAACTCCCTGACTGTACCTCCCTCCCTGCCTTCCTCCAGCCTGACTGGACCCCTGCTGCTGTCGTATTTTTCTCTTGCTTTGGAACTTAGGCAGTACTTGTTCCAGTCTCAGCAGACCTGCATTATTAACTGCCGGCTTCCTTCCCTGGTAACCTTCCAGATCTGTCCCTGGCAAATCCCAAATCCACCCTCAAAACTCTCCCTAGCCCTTGGCAACTCCCATGGTCTCATGCAACCTAGCAATTGTGTACAACAGGCAGGGGACAGATGAGTTACTACCCTAAAAGAACTCGGATGGGGGTGCGCTACAATCACTTACTCATCCCCTGCTGCCATTGAGTGCTGAGATGGCCTTATGTCTGGGATGTGGGGCAAAGAGTGGCATATCAGGGGATCCTAGGAGATAAACACATCCTAGGAGCCCACATTTTTGGTTCGACTTTGGGCCACACCCAGTGGTGCTTGGGGATCAAAGACCCCTGGGATTGAAATTGGGTTGGGTATGTATAAGGCAATTGTCTGACCCACTGTACTGTTGGGCTGGAGCGATAGCACAGCGGGTAGAGTGTTTGCCTTGCACGTGGCTGACCTGGCAGACCCAGGTTCGATTCCTCCTCCCCTCTCGGAGAGCCCGGCAAACTACCGAGAGTATCTTGCCCGCACGGCAAAGCCTGGCAAGCTACCCGTGACGTATTCGGTATGCCAAACACAGTAACAAGAAGTCTCGTAATGGAGACATTACTGGGCCCGCTTGAGCAAATCAATGAATGGGAAGAGTGACAGGGACTACTGTCAGGTATTAGGAGCCCATGCTGATCAAGCATAATGGTGATTAGCACCCCACTCGTAGGGGTGCAGATAAGCTGTAGAATGCTCTGGGAGACATGTCTGAGAGCAGAGGGAGAAGGTAGGCCAGCATAGCTTTAACTCCAATTTCCTGTGCTGATGTGTTTGACACGGGCTTCCCTTTATGGGGAAGGCAAGAACACAAACCGACCACCAGCCAAAAATGCCTGCTTTTTCCTCTCTGAAAGCCCCAATTTCCACCAGCTAAACAGGCTCTTAATAGGGACTTAGTGAAGTTTTGTTTTTGAGGCCACATCTGGCATTGTTCAGAGAACTATGTGTGGTGCCAGGAACCAAACCCAGGTTAGCCATATGCAAGGCACAGTGTCCAATATGCTCTATTCTCTGGCCTCTGAGTATTAGACCTGAAATTAATTTCCTGTCAGCAAGCAAGATTCTTTTCATTATTTACAGCACTGTACTTCTACTGTATGAGGTTCTCCAATAAACCTATATTCGTAAAGGCAGGATTGGGCAATTTTTGTAATGGGTCAGACTGCTAGCTAGTAAACATACCAGCTTCTGAGGGACAGATGGTCTGTGTCACAAGAATACAGTGTGTAGTAGCCATAAATAACATGAAAACAAATGAGACTGTGTTCCAATAAAATTTTATTTATGGACACCGGAATTTGAATTTATATACTTTACACAACACAAAATATTTTTTGGGTTTTTTTCAATGTTTTAAAAATGTAAAAACTATTCTTAGTTCACAGGCTGTACATTAACAGGTGGACAGCAGACTGAACCAGTCTGCTAACCCTGCAAGAGTTAAGAGATTTTTCCACTTACTCTTCAATATGCAGAGTATGAGCCACTTAACTGCAAAGGCCACAGCCATAATTATCTATTCCAGCTGCCTTTACTTTTCTGTATTCATTCACTCTAGTCAAACATTCAACTTGGCACCTACCCAAATTTGGGTTCTGGACAATTGTCCTTGGGACACTGAAGAAAGATCAGTCAAAGCTTTCTCTCAAGTTCTCAGTCTCAGAAAAGATATCCTGAAGCCGTTAGATATTGGAGGTAACTGATGAGATACTTGTGTCGCCATAACCAATCACCACAAACTGGATGGCTGAGTGCAACAGAGGTTATCCTCTCCCAGTCCCGGAAGTAGGAGTCTGAAATCAAAAGGTGCTGGCTGGGTTGGTTAATTCCAGAAGCTCCGGGGAGGTCTTCCACGACTCTGGCCCCACTTCTTGGTTCCTGGGCTTAGAGCCACACTGTTCACTCACTTCATATGGTCTTGTGCTCAGTTCCCTTTCCTTATCCTCTTACACGGTCTTCTCCCTGTCGGGGCCCTTTCAATCCCAGGCCGGTCTCATCTCCAGATCATTTCACCTACAAATGCCCTTTTGTTCCAAATAAATTTGGTCATATTTTTCAGGTTCCAGGTGGGCATGACTTTTGAGGGAACCATTACAATATTCTTAGTGCCTTAAGGGTAAATGCCCAACATCATCTGGAAGACTCTGTGAAGCATATAAGGACAGCTTTCAAGGACAACGTGGTCCTTTGACAAATGAGAGCTGGTATCGGCAGAGCATGAAGAAGAAGAGGAGAGGATGGGTTCAGGGACCAGTCAGATGAGAATTATGGTAGCATGATGCCACACACAGCCATCTAGACCTTCTGGCTCGATGTGAAGGTGGAAAGCATGGAGGTTATCAGCGAGATGCCTGATGCGGGTCATGGCTGCTGGGAGTGTGTGCTGTTAAGCAGGCTTCTGATGGGAGCCGCATGGTAATTTTCTATAATTACGTCTTGTAATTATATTCCAGTTCAGCCATTCCTCTCACTTAACCACCAGAATGTCTATTCCAAACATCCTTTAACCAGCTCCCCTCAATCATGAGATTGAAAAGTCATGATTACGGCCTTATGATCTTAAAATATGAAACACGCTAACTGTTCCCACCGCTATTATGGTCTTCAATCTTCTCCTGAGAAGTACCCCTCACAGTTACTCTTTCCTCTCACTCTATTAAGGGCTGCTCTTCCTCCCACACTCTTTCTTTCACAATGTTACCTTCTCACTCATGGTAACTGCCAATCAAGAAAGAATATAATCTCCCTTCTATTACTAAAATCCATACAAAAGTAAATCATGAAGAAATGGTAAATTTATGACAAAATCACTGATCTTATTGCATTATCAAGATTTCCAAAAACAATTAAAATTTTGTACAGAGACAACTATAAACAAAAATACTATTTAAGAGACCCAGGTCTCCCCTAGAGGGAAAATTATATAATGTGTATATGCATTCCATAAAAAATATATAGGGGGAAAGCTTTAGAAGTCCAAAAACAAAACATCAGTAAACCAAGCCACACTTAGAAAAATGAAAGCTGATTTTTATTTTTATCATCAACAGCCATTCTTAAACAGGAACATGCATACGTAATAATCTACGCACACATCACAGTTTTTAACATTAGTTAATAAAGGTTAAACACACAACATACATCCTTACAAAAAAAAAGTCAAAATGCAAACTTAAAACTTTAAACAAGAGTCTTACTAATTTAAAAAAGTTTGTGTTAGGTACCATTTGTACAACACAATTAATTTAAACATTTTCATTTTGGCTGCACATGAAAAAAGCGGCAGTAGAAAATAAAGTCATCAAGGGTTTTTAAATAGCAGAATAGGCAGTTTGCCATGCAGGAGAAGCAATATTAAATATTAGTTTTCAAAAAAAATCCACATTTAAAAATATTTAGTTCAAGTCACAGATTTTTTTTCCTCAGTAGAGACCCAAATGCAATGCATATTTAGCTGCCTCAGATGGCCTGTTTAAAAGGACAAGATCCCTTCCGAGTATAACTTTACTGATTTTGGCACAGAAAAGAAGTCTTAAGAACAAGAACATGATTAAAAAAGAGGGAAGAGGAACAGAGGAAAGAAATAAAAAGCAAGAGTAAATGAGATAGTAATTGCAATCACTAAAAAACTGTGCATTCTCAGTCATTGCAGAATACTGTCTTCTGTCTACAGCAGGTGCTTATTCCAGAACTGTTATTGCAGCATGGATTTAATTTGCTTGGAGGTAGTCTCATCATTCAAATGTTTTGTTGTGTACCTTAAAAGTGAAAACAAAAAGACAAAACAAAACAAAAAACAAAAAACACTGATTTTAAAGGAGTTGAAAAGAAACATCACTGCAGTGGATGCTACAGCGATCACAAAATAAACAATTTGTCAAGCAAGTCTTCAAAAATAACAATGAAAGTATTGTTCCCCAGTAATGTGCTGCAAGCAATTCAGGAACTGTTTCTGCCTACCCACATAGTCACCAGTTCTTGCTCCTTCTATGGAAGATGATGATAAACAAGTTCCAGCTAGTCCCAGGAAAGTGTCAACGGAGAGCCACATCACACTCTGATCAAGGGGCCAAAAGATGGCTCAGTGGCTAAAGTGTCGGCTTGCAAGCATGAGGCCATGACTTTGATTCCCATATGCCAAGCATGACCCTGGCAGGTGAGCCTGTCATACCTGCTCTACTGTCTGTGATTTTTGACACTACATGTTGATACCTGGCTCCCCCACCCCTCCTACCCCAAGACCTGGTATGCACAAGCCCTGTACCTAAAGGCTGTAATCCCTCTGAATTAAAACTAATGTGCAGGTACCACAACCTAACACAACCAAGTGTGTGTGCAACCTCTAGTCATGGCAGAAACAGAGGGAGACTGGAGGGAAGGCTCAAATCTTTTTCCAAGTGATAATGCTTTTCAACTTCTAAATTTATTTGTTGGTTTTTTTCATTTTCAGAGGGAAGGGGTGTGGGGAGTCGGTTACTGTTGGGTCAGACCCAGTGGTGCTCAATCAAGACTATCTCTGGCTCTATGCTCAAAAGTGACCCCTGGCAGTGCTTGGGGACCATATGTGGCCATCCGGGCTTCAAACCATGACAGCACAGCCACATGCAAGGTAAGTATCTTAGCTCCTGTACTATCTCTCCATCACTTTACTCTTAAATTTAATGAGGAAAGCAATTCTCTAGCACTCATTTCCAGTTCTAAGTCTCATTCACTTATGATGAAAGAAAGGCATTTCCATTTCTCCACCGGTTTTGGAGAATGTTAGGCATGTTTTCTTGCTTTCTCTTAACTACAGATTATTAAATTAGCGACTTCACAGAAAATTTCCACTGAAAGTTACCACAAAAATAGACAATGTCTGTGTGTACGCAGTTACACTCCCATTTCAAAATTTTAGGTTGCTGACAGTTGGAACAGAGGAAAATGACAGAATGATCATCTCTAGTAAATTGGCTAATTAACTAGTAAAGAAATTCAAGAAAAATCGTTCCACTTCAGAGAGGTATGTATAAATGTTAGGAACTTTAGGAATTAGAAAATACTTTTTCGTTTGATTTTGTGTGTGTGTGTGTGTGTGTATGGGTGGGTGGGTGTGCACATGCCTGTGTACATGCATACTCATCAGTATGCTGGGCTTACTCCAGACTCTGGGCTCAGAGATGGCTCCGAGTGGTGCCTGAGGGATCAAACCTGGGTTGCCTACATGGAAGATCAGTGTCCATCATTCTATCTCTCTGGCCTTTCTTTTAAATTTTTTTTGGGGTGAGGTGTCTTCCAAAGCACTGTTCAGATGATACTTGACACAACTATGCAGGCCTGATAGTTCTGTGCTCAGGCCCAGCAACGGGGTTCTGGGGGGAAACCATCAAACTTGGGGGGACCTCTACTTTCTAGGCATGCCCTCCAATCCTTTGAGCTGTCTTGCTAGCCCTAGAAAATTCCCTTATGAATGAATATGAGTGAAGCATTAAGATTGCTTCAGTTGGCTGGTATAAAGGAAAAATTCAGCAGTGCATACATATCAAAGATTAATGGGTTTATTTCAAAACCAGGAGATTTCAACTTTTCTGAATTTTTCTATTTTCTGAGTTTTATTTGCGATTATAGAATGACTACTCTTACTGAAAAATAAATTCAGTCAATGCTTCAAGAGGGGTAAGAAGTAAAACCTAGCCTCTAATTAAGAAATGACATAGCCACTCTCACTTGTGCACATACAATCCTTGCAACTCCCCGATGCGCGCACATGCACGCACGCGCTATCTCTCTCTCTCTCTCTCTCTCTCTCTCTCTCTCTCTCTCTCTCTCTCTCTCTCTCTCTCTCTCCTCTTTCTCTCTCTGATTATAAAAATACAGTAACCAGTATTTGAAAGCCAAGATTACCAATAAACAGCCACGACCTTCAAATCCGTAACTTGAACATTCATCTTTTGTGCTATTCATATTTAGAAGCGTTTTCTCTAATGACACATACCTGAGAGCATTTAGAAGACCTTCTACACTATTAGGAGGCTGATCCTTAAGAACTTTGATACAACCTTTCATCTAAGAAGAAAAAGAAACAGGGAAGGTAAAAACACCTCTTTTTATCACAGTAGTATTCAACATCCGATGGAAATTTTGTTTTGTTTTGGGGTCACACTTGACCATACTCAAAGGTTACTCCTGTCTCTGCACTCAGGAATTACCACTGGTGGTGCCTTGGGAACATATGAAATGCCAGAGATCAACCCAGGTTGGCTGTGTGCAAACGCCTTACTCACTGCACTATCGCTCCAATCCCAGAACTTCTGAGAAATTACTTCGGAGAAACGCCAAGATAATTATTCTTAGAGCAGGGGAGTTTAAAAAATGTACTCAAGTGTAATTAGTCTCAATTTTTCAAATCAAATTTTTTGAGAACTAAATTAGTCAAACATAGCATGACCAAGGGCTGGAGCGATAGCACAGCGGGTAGGGCGTTTGCCTTACAAGCGGCCAACATGGCCGACCCGAGTTCGATTCCTCCGCCCCTCTCGGAGAGCCCGGCAAGCTACCGAGAGTATTCGATATGCCAGATACAGTAACAACAAAGTCTCCAATGGAGACGTTACTGGGCCCGCTCGAGCAAATCGACGATCAACGGGAGGGCCTTTACCTTTACCTTTTAGCATGACCAAAACCATGATAAACTAAGGGTCTGGTCTACTGTTCATTTCTAAGAAAGGTGTTGGATCACCTTTAACGAACAGAATGGACATGTTAACAAGTAAAAAAAGAAGTTGTCAAGGTAGACAAAAATCAAAACAAAAATTTGTATCACCCATAGAGACTAGGCTGGAGTGACAGCACAGCGGGTAAGGCGTTTCCCTTGCACATGTCCGACCTGGGTTCGATTCCTCTGCCCCTCTTGGTGAGCCTGGCAAGCTACCAAGAGTATCTTGCCCGCATGGCAAAGCCTGCCAAGCTCCCCGTGAGGTATTCGATATGCCAAAAACAATAACAACAAGTCTCAACAATTTGTTGTAAGACATTACTGGTGCCCGCTCAAGCAAATCAATGAACAACGGGAGGACAGTGTACAGTGGACCCATAGAGACCCATAGAGACCAGAATTTTGCAGAGGTGAAAAAACCTGTATAGGACTGTTTAAGAAAACCAAAAATATTTGAGTTATGAGTTTAATAGCAAGAACTTGTTACAGGCTACCTTTGTAAACATTGGCCTGATTATTGTGATAAAGCCTACCAGAGCAGAAATATCATGGGCTTTGGAAGCCTGGGTGATGCAGATTAAATTTCCACTCTACCATTTGTACAACAACCACACTTTTAATTTCCCCTAAAATTTCATTTCTCTATCAGCAGAGAAGATAATACCTATATCCTAGGGGTATTTTCAGAGTTATGTGAGAGAACAAATGTAAAGTTCCTGAGACCCAGTAATCACTTAAAAAACAAGTTAACTTACTGTCTTTAGAGAGGATGAACATGAAAGCAAAAGACTGGCTAGCCAGCAGCAATCGAAATACAAAATGTTTAGAGCCAGGAATCCTGTGAGAGGGACACTGGAAGAGAGCTTTAGCCAAACACTGGCTGTATGTAATCGAAAGAACCAGATGTGAAAGAATTAGGAGAGTAATTACCAAATGGAGAAACCAGAAAGCAACTTTATTCCTAATATAAGTTTTATAAAGTGGGGCCAAAGCAGTAATACATCAGGTACAAGAACACATACGGCAGCCCTCCACGCCAGGAGTGATCCCTGGAACAAAGCCAGGAGTAAGTTGCCAGATGTGGCCCAAAAAAGCAAAAAGCAAAAAAACGTCTAATGTAGATAAAAGGAAATACATGTGATAGCAACAAATTGTTATGACAAGGGAAGGGGAAAATAAAGTCTTCAACTTTCTCCACTGCAGCACCTCAAATTACTTTTCATATACATTTGCAAGTAAGCATTTTGCTTGAAAGGTTTTGAAACAATGGAATAGAAGGATACAACTTCTAAAAGCTCTTATGGTATCTTAATAGGTATTTATATTGACAAATACACCCAAAAAGACACATATAATTGAGGTATTGTTACAGGGAAACACTCTTTAGAAAATAACCATTATCTTTTCATTGTTCTACTCTATCCAGATACAGACTGTAAGAAATATAGCAAGATAGCAGGAGACCAATATTCACCATTATAATAAGCTAGAAAACTTATTTCTATGGCAGGACACAGTCTGCCAACTCTTAAAAGCCCATGACCAATACCTATGCAAACATTGCTACATAGAATAACTTACATCAATTTTTGAAGTTTTGGCAAACGCTCCCACTGGATGTACATGATCGTAGAGTATTATGACCCCCACCATTACCCTCAAGCAGAATGACACTGTCTCTTCATTTGTAAATCTGCTTCTGTATTCTCTGAAGAGAAAAGAAGATAAAGATGGAAGAGGCATTATCACCTAATGAGTTGACTCCACACACCAGTTAATGTCTAAAAGAGATGCTAATGCAATGCTGCCCCTAGCCCACGCTACAGAGAGTCCCAGAAATCAGGCAATGCAGCAGTACCCAGTTACATATTGTTCCTAAACACACCTGTAATTCTGGAATTCCTTCTGCTTGTAACACCAAAAATAGTTAAGTACTGCCAAAGTCTGGGGATGGGTTCTTTGTAGCAGAGGTTAGAGTCAATGTGATAAAAGTCACAAATAAAACAGAATGGGGGCTGGAGCAATAGCACAGGAGGTAGGGTGTTTGCCTTGCATGCGGCTGACCCAGGTTTGATTCCCAGAATCCCATATGGTCCCCTGAGCACCACCAGGAGTAATTTCTGAGTGCATGAGCCAGGTTTAACACCCCCCCCGCCCCCCACCCCCTCACCTCCCCGTGCATTGCCGGGTGTGACCCAAAAAGCAAAAACAAAAAAACAAAACAAAAAAACCAGAAACAAAAACAAATATACAAATATAACAGAATGAAGTGCGCCCTTCTATTGAGGGGTAGTCAATATACACACATTATTACTGGAATTTAATTTCACTTAACTATGATTATAACTCTTCTCATTTGAGATGAAAGATAGAGAACTTTTGTCTGTTAATGCAAAACGGCACAGTACTAATAGTCTAGAACTAGTATGGAGACATCCAAAGTACTTGTCAGGTATATAGTGTTAGTATATGAACAAAATAAAAGTAAATTAGTAGCTTAATGGGCTGGAGCGATAGCACTGCGGTAGGGCGTTTGCCTTGCATGCGGCCGACCCGGGTTTGATTCCTCGGTCCTTAGCTGCCTTGCATGCGGCCGACCCGGGTTTGATTCCTCGGTCCTTCTTGGAGAGCCCGGCAAGCTACGAGAGTATCCCGCCCACATGGCAGAGTTTGGCAAACTCCCCTTGGCGTATTCAATATGCCGAAAACAGTAACAGCAAGTCTCACAATGGAGACGTCAACGGTGCCCGCTCAAGCAAATAGATGAACAACGGGAGGACTGTGCTACAGTGGACAGTATTACAGTAGCTTAACTGAACTTATAGTTAAGTGTAAAGTTAGTTTTCAGAAGCCTCATACCAGGACAACTAAATTATTTCTCACCAAATAGGAATTTTGTGGTGTCCTTTTAAATTAGATTTTATAGCTCTTTGACTATGCTTCTCATAAACATTCTCTCTCCTTTTCAAAAAAGAACCTTGTATCTTTTTAAGTAGAGAGTTAGTTTGTCTTCTACTTACAGTTCCAATAGTGAGTAGTCCCATTTTTCCCACACTGACTTGAATTTTCTTCGGGGTTTCTCTTCTTTCAAGCCATTTTTGATGTATACCCCTATTTTTTCTGACTAGATTTTTCTTTTCAGCAGGCAGAAAGCACCACCCCCACTCCCAGATTTCTGAATAATACATGTTTTTGCTAGATTATTTTTCATTTTTGTAAAGTTGTTTATTTCCAAACCACTACTAACACATCTTATTGGAAAAGCTTGTGGAATAAGGGGCAATTAATTATTTATCATTATCATCTTCTCATGCTTCTCATAACCATTTCAACAACCCGTTAAGGTGACAAGATCAGCTAATACTCACGGTGTCTCAAGCATGACTCTGCATACACTTGCCATGGTACTTAGACAATCTGTAGTATTTTCTATTGGTAAATTTTTATTCTGCAAAAAGAATATAGAAAACAAAAAAAATGACTTATTACTTACATATAATTTAAACCCTAGCTTATCATGAAAAATCTACAACTTTACAATTTGGTTCCAACTACCAACTTTGGGATATGCACTAGAATCTTGGCACAATTCTAAACTCTTGAGAAATAGCTATATGCAAGAGAGTCAACCCTACTATGTGGAGGAGAGGAATTTATATTCCAGCTGGATAAAACTACAGCAACAGAGAGGGCCCAGAGAGCCACGAGATAAGTGGATTTTATCTGGAGGACATTTTTACCAAAAGAGAAAAGAAATGTGGTTTTAACTTAGCTGTTCTTTGAAGAGAGCACTAATGCGAGGCAAGAACAGAAGAAACAAGATTGCTGGAACAGAGCCAAAGTGATAGTACAGCAGGTAGGGCATTGGCCTTGCACACAGCCAATCAAGGTTCAATCTCCAGCACCCTGAACACTTCCAGGGGTGATCCCTGGACACAGAGCCAGGAATAAGCTCTGAGTGTCATTGAGTAGGCCCAAAATTGCAACAACAAAAGTTGGATTTATCAATGCAGTAATTCATGTAAAAGGGCAGAAGATGAATCTTGAAGAGGCTGGAAAAGAGGGATTAGGTTTTCAGATGCAGGTATGAATGCCACTAGATCTACCTGCTGGAGAAGATAACGGGGAAGGGGCAGGGAGAGAATGAGATAAATGTAGGATACACAATAATTATTTGCATATGCAATCAGGAAAGGGCAAAGCTGGGAGGAAAAAAAATTAAGACTTTGGTTTACCTATGATCCAGATAAGGGGTCAAATACACATCCAAAAGGAGAATGAGATAGGCAAAGAATGTGCACGTGAAAGGAGCAGGAAAAGAACAGAACTCCACTCAGGATTCAGGATTCTGTCTCTGAGACATAGTACTTAAAATTGTATGGCTATATTTAGCATGAGATGCAGCTAAAGAATACAGGGCATGTTTTATAGGTCTGGAGTTTCATCCCCAGTACCAAAAAACAAAATTTAAAAGAAAGTAATGGAGGCAATCTTCCTGGCCCTTGTCTCTACTGTCCTTGGGTGTTAATCTCATATTGTTATTTTATATTCCACATGAGTGCAATCATCCGATGTTTGTCTCTTTCTGACTCATTTCACTTAGCATGATGCTCTTCATGTCCATCCATTGATAAGCAAATTTCATGACATCATCATTCCTAACAGCTGCATAGTATTCCATTGTGTAGATGTACCAAAGCTTCTTTAACATGTCATCAGTTATCTGTTCTCTCAGGCACTCAAGTAGTTTCCAGATTCTAGCTATGGTAAACAGTGCTGCAATGAACATACAGGTGCAGATGTCTTTTCTACTGTGCTTTTTTTGTACCCCCAGGATATGTTCCCAAGAATGGTATTGCTGGGTCATATGGAAGCTCAATTTCTAGGGTTTTTTTTTCCCCCTTTTTGGCTCACACCCAGCGATGCACAGGAGTTACTCCTGGCTCAACACTCAGAAATTAACCCTGGCAGTGCTCAGGGGACCATATGGGATGCTGGGAATTGAACCTGGGTCAGCCGCATGCAAGGCAAACACCCTACCTGCTGTGCTATTGCTCCAGCCCCTCAATTTCTAGCTTTTTAAGGAATGTCCTTGATTTCCAGAAAGGCTGGACCAGTCAGCAATCCCACCAACAATGAAAGAGAGTCCCTTTCTCCCCACATCCGCACTAGCACTGGTTGTTCTTGTTCTTTCTGATGTGTGCCCATCTCTGTGGTGTAAGATGGTATCTCATTGTTGTCTTTATTTGCATCTCCCTGATGATTTGTGATGTAGAGCATTTTTTCATGTGCCTTTTGGCCATTTGTAATTCTTTTTTGAGGAATTTTCTGTTCATTTCTTCTCCCCATTTTTTTTGATGGGGTTGAGGTGGGTTTTTTTTGTTGTTGTTCTAATGTCTTGTATATCCTGGATATTAACCCCTTATCTGATGGGTACTGGGTAAATAATTTTTCCCATTCATTCGGCTTTCTCCAGGGTTGGAAGCCTGACTCATGAGCTGGAGGAGCTGAAGGAAAAGGCAACTAGGATAGAGAAGGGATCACCAAGTCAACGATGATTGGAGGGATAATTTGGGATGGAAGATGTGTGCTGAAAGTAGATCAAGGACCAAACATGATGGCCTCTTGGTATCTGTATTGCAAACTATAATGCCCAAAAATAGAGAGTAAGAGGGAAATTATCTGCCCACAAAGGCAGGGGGAGGAGGGGGAGGGCACACAGGAGGACAATGGGGACACTGGTGGAATATGTACACTGGTAGGGGGATGGGTGTTCAATCATTGTATGACTGAAACTCAAACATGAAAGCTTTATAACTGTATCTCACAGTGATTCAACCAAAAAAAACACACACACACACACACAAAAAAAGGAGGCTGTGGGCTGGAGCAAAAGTACAGCAGGTAAGGCACTTGCTCTGTACATGGCCGACTTGGGTTCAATCCCCAGCACCACATCTGGTCCCCTGAACCTGAAAGGAGTGATCCCTGAGCACCCATGGGTGTGACCCAAAAACAAACAAAAATAATCAGAAGAATCTTGCTGAGGTCATTACATTTATAGATAGGTGTAAGAAGAATGGAAAAATTACTTCCCAGGAAATGCTTACCTCTGAAACAAACTTTGTTGTAGCATCACTTAAGGTTTTCAGCATTGGAGTCGCCTCAGCATAAAACAAAGACATTCGATTTGCCAACTCATTATTAACTTCATTTTCTCCTTCTGCCTATGTGAAAAGTAAGAGTCTTTAGTATCATTTTATGTAACAATTTTGCAGAGTGCTTGTCTCTTAATGCCTACTGAATTAATGTAATAAATATTCCAAATTTTTACACACACACACATGCAACTAATTTTTAAAAACGGAAAGATTAAAGGGGGCTTGAAGATGCCTCAGTAGTAGAGCAGTGCTTTGCAGACATGTGGCCATGAGTGCACTCCCTGCAACAATCCATAAGCTTAGCAAGATCCGAGCAACACTACCATAAAAAAGTATGTGAGCACTGCAACTGAAGTGTGTGAACACCACCACTGAGGGTGTAAACCCAGGTCATCACAACAACAGCAGTATAAAAAATGGAAAACAAAAGAAGTGTTAGGAGTACATACTTTGCATATATGAGTCCCTGGGTTGTCTCTTGGCGACACACACACACACACACAACAACAACAACAACAAAAAGTTGGCTCTTTATCTAATATTGTGTTTTCTCTTGAACACTTACTCCTCTTTCCCTCTTTTCACAATACTCTAAGAAAATTTCTTTCAATAAAAACTCTTTTGCTAGACTCATAAATAAATCTCAGAAGAAATCGACATGCTGCACAGATGCCTCCAGGCCCTGTACCAAGCTGAGTCTCATATCTGGAGTACCTGGGAGTGGGGCAGATGAGGTCACCATCTGCCCAAACAAAGCCCCAGCAGTGGAAAACCTCCAGAATCCAATCACCACCATGCTCACGACCAGACTCAACAGGCTAATGACAAGCCTCATCCAGGAATCAATCTGTTGAAAACTAAGGTATGCATACTTTGTGACCGAAATTGTCAGGCTCTCATGGAGTCGGGGATGGGCGACCTCCCCTCCATCTTCCCTGTTTTTCCAGGAGCCTGGCAGACATGCCCACGAACTGCCTCTGCTGTCATACAAGTTCATTAACCGAACGATCCAGAGACCCATAAATAAATCTCGAAAGAGATCATCAAACTACAGAGATGCTTCTGATCTCCAAAGTCACCATTCAGTTAAAAATTGAACTCCAGTCATTATCCTAGAAATCCTAAGAGTATGTAGATGCAACATCTTACACTACACAGATATACCAGGAGTAGCACACCATATTAGATGTGATGTAAAGTAGAAGGCAATCAATCTCAATAAAGGAAATATTAACACATAGGCTTAACCTGTAACAACATGTTAGTAATCTCTTTAGTATTCTAAAAGAATACTACAAGGGCTTAATGGCCCTAGTGTGTGCTAAACAATTTTCACATATTTTCTTCTAAGTAAACATTTTTTGATCATTTTTAGTGAATTATTCATAACAAGCAATACAAAATAAATTATTTAAGGCCTGCTATTGGGGCAGGCTTGGGTGGTGGTTGGGAAAATTGGAAATAATGATGGTGGGAAGGTATAATGGTGGTAAGATTGGCGTTGGACTATTTCATGTAATAAATCATTGTGAACCACTTTATAAAAATAAAATTAAAAAAATAAAAAGAATAAAATTTTAAAAAGCCTATTTTACTTTAGATAAAAAGAAGAAAAAATTATGGGGTCAAAAAGAGATACATTATGTAGGAGTTAAAGTGTATGCCTTAACAGTGGCTGACCCCTGTACCTGGGTTCAATCCTTGGTGCTACTTGGTCTCCTCAGCACCAGTGGGGGGAGGCCCTGGATGCTCCCAAGCACCACAAGACCTAAGATCATTGCATCCTCAGGCCCTTAGACTGACCTACAATTGGCCAAGTCGTTAAGACTGGCTCCCCATCCTCCAGAGCACCATTTGGGAGTCCCCCCAAAATAAATAAATAAGAAGAATATTTCTAAAATACTAAGCAATTAAGGGCTGGAGCGATAGCACAGTGGGTAGGGCGTTTGCCTTGCATGTGGCTGACCCGGGTTTGATTCCAAGCATCCCATATGGTGCCCTGAGCACTGCTTGGAGTAATTCCTGAGTGGAGAGACCCCTGTGCATTGCCGGGTGTGACCCAAAAGACAAACAAAAAAAAATACTACGCAACTAGGGGGCTGGAGTGAAAGTAGAGTGGATAAGGAGCCTGCCTTATATAAAGCCAACCCGGGATCAATCCCCAGTATCCCATATGGTCAGCCATGCACCACCAGGAGAAATTCCTGGGTGCTGAATTAGGAGTAACCCCTAGGCACCACCAGACATGGCCCCAAAACAAAACAACAAAAAAAACCCCTAAGCAATTAAATAAATCTTTGATATATAAAAAGCCCTATGTGTGTGTGTGCGTGTGTGTGAAAATGTCATAGATGCTCAGACAATGAAAAGATAATATTGCACCCTAACTTCATTAGAAACACTCATACACCCATCACCCATGCATCATCTTTTTTTTCTTTTCTTTTTGGGTCACACCTAGCGATGCACAGGGGTTACTCCTGGCTCTGCACTTGAGTTACTTCTGGCGGTGCTCAGGGGACCATATGGGATGCTGGGAATTAAACCCGGGTCAGCCGTGTGAAAGGCAAAAGCCCTACCCGCTGTGCTATCTCTCCAGCCCCAATGCATCATCCTTAATAAAATGCTAAGAGGTAAGACAGAAAAGAAAATGAGAGGCAAACTTAGACTAGAAGAAACTAAAGAAGAATTCCTGAGTTAAGTAATGGTGGACAGGAACAGCAGTATTCCAATCAGTGAGGATGGAAGAGTATGTCTGCAAATAATCAGGTAGAATGCCATTCTATATAATTCAAATGTTCAGTGTACTAAGAGGTATCAGCCAGAGAAAGATGGGGTCATATTATAGTGTCTTAAGTACTTACTTAAGAATCTATTTTCCTTTGATACAGATTAGACAAAGTCATGCGGGTTCCGGGGCCGAGAGCTCCTAGCCTACTCGGATTTGGGCTGAGCAACCTCCACCCAGATCCTCCAAATTCCAGTAGGCGGTGGTCACACCCACCAACTGGCCCCCTGGCGCCGTGTAATCCCATCAACGGCCAAGACTCAGAGACTATCTATAAAAACCAGCTCCCAGAACCATGCGACCGCATTTGCGGCCGCGCAACATCCTATTATGACATCTTATTATCTCATTCCTACTTTGGACAAACTGGCAGGCTACCGAATGTAGCCTGCCCACACGGCAGAGTCTGGCAAACTCCCTGTGGCATACCCAATATGCCAAATACCAGTAACAATGATGGGTCTCATTCTCCTAAAGAACCTTGAATATAATCTCAGGGCTAGGATGAAGGAGACGTTACTGGGGCCTGCTCGAGGCAATCGACGATCGACAGATTGGAAAAAAGAATGACAAGTCAATGTTTTAAAGACTGTAAACCAATGACAGCAGGTAGACTATACTGAGAAAGAATAGGTCAAAAATGACTTGAATTGTTTGAGAAGAGTTACCAAAGTGAGTATGGATTAAGGCTTTCAACTGAGGAAGTATTAAGAGATGAAAAGAAAGGTGAAGAAATAGATGTAAGGAAGATTTCAGTTGAAAAGAACTGAACTGATAGATGGTAAAACAATATAGGGATGACTAATAATGTTTTGGGTTTTAGGTGATTGCGGTATACTATAATTAAGAACTGAGTGTTGGCTTTCACTTGACACAGTATGAAAAAACAGACAAGGTCAGCCTTGCAAGCAGGAGTCAGTCTATGCAAAACCATACTGTCACAAGTAACAGACACTTCATGGAAGAGAAATCTGTCTTCCAATCCAGGGAATATCTTCAAGCAACAACTTAATGAAGTCTTTACTCAATGACAAAAACAAACAAAAATTCTCCCCTTGTTTGGAATTATTAATACGTCTCACGTTCTTTTGTACTTTTTACATATTCACATTATTATTTTATTAAACTATCCAGCTTGGGCTAAGGCTGACACTAGAAATTTGACACTAATTACCACAATGTAGACACTCAAAAGCACCTAGAGGGGGGAAAAAATCTGCTTTAAAGTTAAAGTTTTACTTAATATTTGACTCCTTGCAGGTACAAAAATGCATTTATTAAACAAGTTGAGAAGAGGAAGTCTAGCACATAATAAGCCTAAAACACCAGAAGAGATGCTTGCAAGCCAAGAAATGCTAAAAACCCACAATCTCACTCTCTTCTCTTACAAATATTGTAAGTTTTTTCCTATACCAGGGAATTTCTCTTCACTGTTATATTACTTAATCTATTCTAAGATGATGAAAACAACAAAAATTACAACCATTAATTTGAAAAACTTTTATAGTGTTAAAACATATAGGGTCTTCTTAAGTTATACAAACAAAAGTAAAAAGTAAGTAAAGTAAAGGCCCTCCCGTTGATCATCGATTTGCTCGAGCGGGCCCAGTAACGTCTCCATTGGAGACTTTGTTGTTACTGTGTCTGGCATATCAAATACTCTCGGTAGCTTGCCGGGCTCTCCGAGAGGGGCGGAGGAATCGAACTCGGGTCGGCCATGTTGGCTGCATGCAAGGCAGACGCCCTACCTGCTGTGCTATCGCTCCAGCCCTGACAAACAAAAAGAACTTTCATTTAAGAAGTCTTGGAAAGTTAAGGGATCAAATGGTAATAAAGGTAAATACAGTATGGTATGTTACATGTTTTCTTTCCACAGTCATAATTTTCATAATTACTATTTTTATAGGCTTTAACTTTATCTGAATAAGCAAATAACAAATGAAAAAATAAATTGTATAAACTGAGAGTGGAATTATCACCACTGCTTAAGAACATACACTTACTGGAACATTATTAATCCTCATACGACTCAAAGTTCTTCTATAATAGCTGAAATCATTCTGTATGGCAGGATTTGTCATCTAAAAACAATTATGGAAGAAAAAGATATTAATTATTAAATGATCATGTATATAAATAAAAAAAATCTTCCAAACAAGGCTTTCACTAGTTAAGAAAACCCTTCCTAATCTCTAATACCCATTATAGGACAAAAGCTGTATCTGGAGAAATGTAGTGGTTCAGAATGCCTTTCTTGCTGATGAACTAAAAAGGGTCATGAACTAAAAAGCCCAGTGTCCCACACACCAACCTGGATCTCGGCAGTCCTATTGTTTACAATCCCTGGTGTTACGGGTCAAAGCAACAATTCCCAACGAACAGAAGTAAAGGAAAGCAAAGTTCAGTGAACACTGTAACCAAGTATGATGGCATCGCATTCTGATGCGCTGCATTTGGTCACACATTTTTAGCACCACAGCTGAAACCTTGTGTGAGACCACAGCAAGGCATGTGCACAACCCCATGTCATCACAACATCAATAACAAGGAGGGTGTGGGTCAGAAAAAGAAAAAAGGGTTAAGGCATTTGCCCTCCTTGCAGCCAACCGCAGTTCAAATACCCCAGTAGCGTGTATGGTCCCCAGAGCACAGAACATCTCCAGGGGTCACTCCTGAGCACAGAGCCAGGAATAGCCCCTGAGCAACACAGAGAGCGGTCCACCATTCATGCCCACCAAAAGAATACAATAAAATAAAACCATTGATGGTGGAGAAGGGAATTTTGAAAAACAAACCGAAATTGGTGTCATCAAAGATGCCTTTTGAAAAAGTATGTTAACACTATACTACACGCTTACTGACAGTGTAAAAGTACTATTTTTCGGTCACACTCACTACACTTTCCTGTTTATAGTTTTTATGTAATACACTAAGAAGGTTATTTACCAAAAACATATTTTCAAACAAAATCAAGAAGGGATATATGGAGATGTTTGAGTAATCACAATAGTATATATGGGGGCTGGGAGATACTATAGAGAATAGGGCCTAGCATACACTCAACCTGAGTTCTACTCCTGGAACCACATCAAGGGATGAAGCCCTGGAGGTCCCGAGCACTGTCAGTGTGGCCCTGGAAGACCCTAGCACCAGCCAGATGGCCCAGTAATCCCAACAACCCATAGGACCTGAGCATCACTGCATCCCTGGGTACCTATCCCACTTCCTAGCTCAGAATTGCTGGTGAGGCCCCAAAGAATCCTAAGCACTGCTTGGGAGACCGAGCATAAATAAGTACATAAATTAAAGTATGTATGTTCAATAGGCAATCTATAAACAAATCATTTATGTTCAATATATTATTAAAGGAGAATAGTTGTCTATGAAATAATCATAAAATACTTGAGTTAGGAATCCAGTTCTTTCACTTGTTTTAGACAAGATAAGATACCTAATGGGGGTTGGGGGAGGAAAGGCATAGTGGAAAACAGTGTGAGAGAGATAAAGATAAATTTAGAAAGATAAAGGGGCAAGGGAGAAGAAGAAAAGAAGGAAAGAGAATTGCATTTCTTCCTAGTCCTCACTTTCATGATCTATGATTTTTAAAATTGGGGTTTAAAGAAAAAATCCTACCTTCAGTTCATCAAACCGGAGTGTGAAATGAAGAATTTCTGCAAACTGTTTAGCAAGAGCCTGCTCTCGCTCTAGATGCTGGGTAGGAGAATAAGGAGTGCTTGTCAAGGCTCCCAGAAGACCCCTTAATGCTGCTTCTGAAGAAATAAAGATGAAAATGTTGGCTCTCTCATATTTGTTTGTCAAAGGTGAAAGATTCATAAATGATATGGTTTTGACTCTCAAAAAGTCCCTTTAAAATCAAACAACCTGAATATAATCAAATAGAATATGGTCTAGATTACCCTAGATTACCCTGATTCCTAAATATAGAACTGAGGACAGAAAAAAAAGAAAAACCATGGGAGCAAGTGAAAACAGGCAGGTGGTAAGTAACAGGGGAAGGGGGCAGGGGCCTTAGACAAACTGGTGGTGAGGAGGTGTGGTGTTTCTATGTATCTCAGCCACAGAGCCTGCAACACTGAAAGCATGAGGTCCAAACTACAACAACCAAACTTAAAAATGTGCCTGTCAGGGAGGAAAGCTGAGGTGGTGGGGCTTGGGGGTTGGGGTAGTGGGTGGGGGAATCTGAAAACACTGGTAGAGGGAAGGTGACACGGGTGGTCGGGTTGGTAGAGGAACACTGCATCCCTGAAACTCAATTATTAGTAACTTCATAAATCATGGTGTCTTAACAACAACAAAACTTTTAATATAAAGAAGAATATACAAATCTTAATAGAATTAGTTCAATTTTATAATTCTCCTATTCAAATTTAAGATAATGAGGGATGTGAATCTTAATACCAGAAAGAAAGGAAACATTTTATATTGCTTTTACCATTTTACACAATCTGGTCTTATGAAATGGGAACTGTCACCTGCAGCTGAGTAATTTCCTCAAGGCATTGTGCCAATACAGTCTAATCTATACATAGCTAAGAATGAATTCTCAATCTCTTCCTTTGAGAGTTTATTGCTGTTTGTTTATAATATAAACTTTCTTTCACCTACTAAAGGAAACAAAGTAGTTTAATAATTAACATCCTGAGTTTCTTAAAGCTGGCATCTCAGAACCATAATATGAATAATAATCCATTACATTAAGTAAAACATCCCTTTGAAATAGGAACTGCTTTCAGAATGCAAGGCTAATAGTATTTTAAAACATAAATGCAGATTTTCCCTTAAAAATAAAAATCATAGAAATCAAAGTAACTTAGTTACACATTACAGGGGAAAAATACTCTAGAATGTATTTAAATAAAATAAGAGCTTGTGTATGTTAAGTATGACATTAATAAATGTCAGACCACTGAACAATCATGTATTAATGATGATTAATGTGAGATCTCAAGCCTTAACTTAAAAAAATTAATCATACTGTAATTATAAATTAACTTCCATACTACACATTTAGTTATTTTCTTGTTTAAGTATTTTTATCAGCTAAGTGGTGGGCATTACAAATGAATAAAAGGACAAGTTTTAAAGAGCTGTACCTAAGTGTATATAGCTCATACTTCAGAATACTACTGTTCCCATCAAAATAAACGATCTCTCAAAGCAATACTCTCCTAGTCTCTGCAACTTTATACATATCTATTCATTTAGTGATCTCTACCAACAGCACTAGCTGTAACTAATGACTACAGATTTGTCTTTAGTTCTGGCCAACTGAAATGCAGATCAGCTTATCAATTTGTTGCCTAAGCTATTCACTTTTCCAAAACAACTGAAGACTTAAAAACAAACATGAAGTAATTCATTTTTTAATAAAAACTATAAAAAATTTTTAAACTGTGGGTGAGGCAAATTTTATCTCAGGTCTAAGTTTAGCTTATGTGATATTTGATGTCTACCTTACAGGATGGTTTCTTCATCAAACTGCCGGTGTTCATTACATATAACATGTTCATTATTTAAAAATCAAAACTATGTAAAAATATGTATAAAGAAAAAATATGTATCAAGAACTTAAATTTAAATGCTTCAAGTTTCTGAGATACATATATAGCTCTTTTCTCCTACACCCACAAATTCACACAATTCTTCCAAATGACATCTTAAAAATTATACAAGCAGCTACATGACTAAATCTTACCTGCTGTGCCTCCTCTTTCTCCAAGAAAGGCAATTCCTTCCTTTTCTTACTCATTGTATTGAAGGCACAATTCTAATCACTGAATAATTTTTCCCATGGAAGAAGAAAAGCAAACAGTTTTGCATTCTTTCTGCATTAGCAACTCCCTAGATAACTACGGACAAATCATTAGCTTCCTATTCTGTAAAGCTTAGTTTTAGATACATGAACTGGTCATAATCAGCAAAAATTTTAAGAAGATATAATACAAATAACCCAAGGGTCTAAGGAGACGAAACTGCCATATACAGGAAGTAACTTGCTACAGACAAGTGGGTAGAAATTATACCAAATGGCTCAGCATATAGGACCCTTTAGGATACAAAGAAATCAGATTTCCTTGTGGGAAATGGTAAAACTATATTACGATTCGTAGAGAAAAGATAAGATTATGCTATAATTTTACAGTCTAACAAGCTTATTTTACTTACAAATGCACAAATTTAGCAAAGCGAACATGAAATACTCTAAATTATTCCAGTGTCAATAAATGTCTTTTTCACTAAGGAAATCATAATTAGAAAACTTCCAACTTACCTAACCTCTGAGAAAATTCGTAAAATTTCTTTAATTTCCCTACTAGTGGAACAACGGCACCCCATGCCTTTTCTTGTAATTTCTCATCTGCTGGATGCTGGATTGCCTTCAAAATCCAAAGGTTAAAAGTACTTAATATTTTTAACAACCACAACCGGTATAATTATCATAAGAATATAGGTTTTTAGCAAACGCAAGAAACCCCAATATACTATAAAAATACAGAATCATGGACCCTGGAAGACATTCTCAACCTCTCTGATGCTAACTAAACATGCTAAATTATATTTCAGTCACTCTTAGAATATAAATATAATGGAATTTTAAAAGACAAAAGTAAGTATTTGTTAAATCTATTATGCCAGGTACCTTCTGAAACAACAAGCAAAAAGACATAAATTTTATACTGCTCCTTATATAATAAGCAGATTTTCTCAGTGATCTTTAATTAAAGAATCACTTTAGTGGAATAAAATAAAACTAAAAAGGGCAAAAAGAAGCTATCAATAATTCAAATTCTACCAACTAAACTTGCTGTAAAAAAAAAATCAATCAAATACCTTAGAACCTAAATGAACATGAGAATATGATTAGAAACTGTCGGAAATTTATTTCCAATGAGTGAAATTCTTTTCTAGGATCCCTATTTTCTAAAGTCAAATAATTTAAAAAGCAATCTACAGTTCGAAATGAGTGTACCTATTTCTAAAATCAGTCATTCAAATCATTAATTTTGTGATCATAGTGAATGATCTTCCCAATTATGTATATTATCTTCTTGCTTTCATCTTCTTTTATGTTATCAGTTTTTTAATCCTTTGTAATACACCATGCCTTTGACAATACTTATTTACTTTTTCTAGCTCTTCAATCATGAAATGCAATCTTGTAGCCAAGGGGGGGTGCTCCCTTTCTACATGGCCAACTCAGGATTGATCCACAGTACCCTTGTACACCACCAGGAGTGATCCTTGAGAAAAAAGCCAGAAGCCCTGAGCACGGATGGGTGTGGTCCCCAAACAATGTTTGCAGACAATATGATACAATATCTAGAAAATCCTAAAGACTCTACAAAAAAAAGCTACTAGAAACAACAGGTTTGTATAGTAAAGTGGCAGGCTACAAAAATCAATGCCAAAAGTCCATGGCTTTCCTATAAACAAATAATGAAAGAGAAGAAAGAGATATTAAAAAAAACAAGCCCGTTCACAATAGTGCCTAAAAAAACCAAGTACTTCATAATCAGTTTAACTAAAGAGGTGAAGGACCTATACAAAGAAAATTACAAAACACTACTTTCCGGAAATAAGAGAGGGCATTAGGAAATGGAGATATACCCCCTGCTCATGGATCGGGAGGATTAAAATTATCGGAATGGCAATAATACCCAAATCACTATACAGATTTAATGCAGACCCCATAAGGATACCCATGACATTCTTCAAAGAAATAAGACAAGGGGATGGAGCAATACCACAATGGGTAGGGCATTTGCCTTGCACGCGGCCAAACCGGGTTCAAGTCTCAGCATCCCATACAGTCTCCTGAGCATTGCCAGGAGTAATTCCTTAGTGCAAAGCCAGGAGTAACCCCTGTGCATTCCCGGGTATGACCCAAAAAGGAAAATCAAAACAAAACAAAACCACAACACTCAATAGGAGAGAGAGAACAAAAGGGAATGCCCTGCCACAGAGGCAGGGGGGATGGGGGGATGGGAAGTGGGAGGGATACTGGGATCCATGGTGGTGAGAAATGGGCACTGGTGGAGGGACGGGTATTTGATCATTGTATAATTGAAACCCAAGCACAAAAATTTGTAAGTCTACAACTGTACCTCATGGTGTCTCACTAATAAAAATAAAACAAAACAAAAAAAACCTAAAAACCAAAGAAAGACAAAATAGACTCCTGAAATTCATATGGAACAATAAAACCCCATGAATAGCTAAAGCAATCCTTGGGAAAAAGAAGATGGGTGGTATCACCTTCCCCAAGTTCAAACTGTACTACAAAGCAGTAGTCATTAAAACAACATGGTAATGGGCTAGAAAAAGAGCCAGAGAACATGGAACAGAGTTGAATATTCTGCAACAGATGCTCAATATATGATCACTTAATCTTTGATAAAGGACAAGAAATGTGAAATGGAACACAAAAGCCTCTCCAATAAGTGGTGTTAGAAAAACTGGATAGCTACCTGCAAAAAAAAAAAAAAAATGAACTAAGACCTCTGTCTAATGCTAGGCACAGAAGTTAAATCACAGTGGATTAAAGACCTCAATATCAGACATGAATCCATAAGGTACATGGAGGAAAATGTAGGCAGAATCCTCCATGACACTGAAGCTAAAAGCATCTTTAAGGATGAAACACCACTGACCAAGCAAGTTGAAACAAACATAAACAAGTGGGACTATATCAAACTAAGAAGCTTCTGCATCTCAATGGAAACAGTGAACAAAATACGGAGAGAACCCAAGGAATGTGAAAGAATATTTGGCCAATACCCATCTGATAAGGAATAAAATATCCAGGACATACAAGACATTAGGGGGGGTCAGAGTCGGAGGCAGAAAAAGAGAGCAGGGAGTCGTTAGAACAAGAAGCAGCAGAAGGAGCTCCGGAGAGAGAAGCAGAAGGCAAATCAGAGGAGAATGGAGTGGAGATTGGAATAAACTGCAACTGACACTGACCAGCCTGGCCCTCATTCCTTCCTTTGCCTACCCATCGCCAACAGCGGTCCCGATTCAGTCCACACACAGAAGCTCAAGAGCACTGAATATGCGTGGTGAGAGAGAGCAGCCCGGAGAGGCCGCGAACAAATCATCATCCCTTCCTTTGGCACGCGAGTATGGCATTTTTCACAACGGACACTTTTGTTCACAATGCTCACTTTTGGAAAAGTGTTAAATATCAAGCAACACTGAGTAAGGATGCTTTCTGTTGGAGCAATCTGTGTGACTCTATGGTAATAATGCTATGTGGGCAGACCTGAGGTATATACATTTTCTATGTTTATGAATTATGTTCATGGTTGATCTCTTATTTACTAGATATACCTCCTTACTATTATATCTCTTGGAGAGCCCAGCAAGCTACCAAAAGTATCCCGCCCGCACAGGCAGAGCCTTACAAGCTCCCTGTTGCATATTTGATATGCCAAAAACACTAACGACAACAGGTCTCATTCCCTTGGCCCTGAAAGAGCCTCCAATTGTTGGGAAAAGACGAGTAAGAAGAGGCTGCTAAAATCTCAGGGCTGGGAGGAACAGATTTAGCGTGTACATATTCCTTTCTAATTTTGTTATTCAGAACTCTTTTCTGCTTAAAAGTCAAAGATCACTAAACATTTTTCAGTGAAAATTTCTTCAACAGTTTCATTAATTATGTATTCCCTATTTGCTTGAATATTGTCTTTAGGGTAGAAGAGGCTAAGGATAGGAGGTCAGTCACTTGCCTTTCATCACTCCAGTGTAAATCTTTGGCATCTTATGGTTCCTGAGGACCACTACCAGGGGTCATTGCTGAGCAGTCAGGAATAGTTCTTGATTATTAACATAAGTGGCTCCTCCACCAAAATTGTTCTTTATAATAAGTTTTCTAACAAAAAATTTCTTCCTAATATTCTTCAGTGATATTTTTCTACAGAAACTGGAATTTTTTCAGGATTTTATTTTAGGCTCCATGACTTATAATACTGATAATGACTGAGTTTCACACGGAAAATATTGCAACACCATCCTCTCTACCACAATGTCACTGTCACTGTCCTCCCGCTGTTCACTGATTTGCTCAAGTGGGCCCAGTAACGTCTCCACTGTGAAAATTGTTACTGTGTTTGGCATAGCCAATATGTCAAGGGTAGCTTGCCAGGTCTCCAAGAGGGGCAGAGGAATTGAACTCGGGTCAGCCATGTTGGCTGCTTGTAAGGCAAACGCCATACCGCTGTGCAATCGCTTCAGCCCACCATAATGTCAACTTCCTTTTACCACTGTCTCAGTGTAGAGACTTCATTTTTTTTTTAACTCTGAGATATCTGAGATATTCCCACATGACCAATCATGGAACACTATGACTAAACGCTCCAGGAAAACTACTGTACGACTAATACATACTTTGGAGACATCAGTGTATGAGCACTGTGTTTAAAGTTAAGGAGCTTGCCTTACACACAGCTGACCCATATTTGATCTCCAGCACCATATACTGTCCCCCAAACCTGGCCAGGAGTGAGCCCCTACCACAGAGTAAGCCCTGAGCATTACCAGATGTGGTCCTCCCCCAAAAAAGCTGCTGGTCACACAGCCCCCATAAACCCTCCTTGAAGGTTATTAGCCTTATGAACTAATCTATTATTTTACTCTCTTATGGAAGATTATAGTTAAATCTCAATCAAGTCTTTCCTAATAATGAAATAAACACTTTTACTATAACAAGCATTTCCACACAAAAGTGAGTAAATGCTTTCATTTGTGAAAAACTCCCAAGCAGTACCTTGGAAAAAAAAAAGGTTCTGATCCTTGTCTCTATGGATAATGAAATGTCTTTTCTTTCTGTCTTGAGAAAGACAACTATAATTAATTTTAAAAAATTCAATTTCAAAATAAATTTTGTGAAAGTTCAATGTATAGGGCTGAAGTGATAGTATAGTTGTAGGGTATTTGCCCTGTATGCAGCCGATCCAGGTTCAATCCTAACATCCCATATGGTCCCCCAAGCCTGTCAGGAGTGATTCCCTGAGCACAAAGTCAAGATTAAGCACTGAAAATTGCCCATGCAACCATAAATAAATTTAAAAAAAACTTCAAATTAAAATTTAATGTAAGCACTAATGGAAAAGTAAGTTTTTATAAATATAAAATATTCCATGAAATATTTTTAGAATTTGTGAACTGGTCTGACCTATAAGAGAGGATTGAGTTAATTTAAAAAATTTTAATAAACTAAATTTTCCATTTACAATTTTTAAAAAAATGCATCTGAATGTTTGAATAAGCTCAATTTCACAGACATAGTTACATCTTCTATTTATGAAATCTGAAGGCTTTACTTAAGATAATGATGATATTAAGATTTTAATGGAAATCTTTTAGATTTATTTCTTCAACTGACAGCTGACTGCACACCAAGGAACACCAAGCAAACAATCATGTTTATTCTCTTCAGGCTACACCCTCCCTGTTGGTTACTATGAAAGGAATGTGTACAAAGTGGCAAAGGAGTCAAGGGAAGATGTGGAATATTTGATTTTTAAGAAAGAACAGAATTAGAATTGAACGAACAGAAAAAAGGGGAAAAGGGGTCCATTCCACAGAAAAGCAAAGATAAGAAGAGAACATGTGTAACAAGTAGTCCAGCAGGGGAGAGATAAAATCAAAATTCATACTATCTATAATTTCTCTCAGTTAAACAGATTACCAAGTATTCATCTAAACTAGAGGCCACAAAATCACTTAAGTCCCTTCTCCTTTATAGTACACATCCAGTCAATCATTAAAATCTGTGGCCTTTAGCTCAAATTATTTCCTTAATCATCATCTTCTGATACAGGCACTTAATTTTGTTTTCACAAACACCCTGAATGCTATTAGAGAAATTAAATATGGAGTATACATTCAGTAGATTGATCCCTGATAATTTATTAGTTTCAGGAAAAAATAATTAAAGCAGATGTGGGGAATGAAGATAGCGGTATAGAAGAAGCCCTTCAGAATACGAAAATAGGGGGCTGGGGCAATAGCACAGCAGGTAGGGTGTTTGCCTTGCATGCAGCCGACCCAGGTTTGATTCCCAGCAACCCATATGGTCCCCCGAGCACCACCAGAAGTCATTCCTGAGTGCAGAGCCAGGAGGAACCCCTGAGCATCGCCAGGTGGGACCCAAAGAGCAAAAAAAAAAAAAAAAAAAAGAATGTGAGAATAAGAAAAGGTTCAGAAATTCAGAAATCAAGAAGTTACTCTGGGGGGGGCTGGAGCGATAGCACAGCGGATAGGGCATTTGCCTTGCACGCAGCCAATATGGCCGACCCGAGTTCGATTCCCAGCATCCCATATGGTCCCCCGAGCACCGCCAGGAGTAATTCCTGAGTGCATGAGCTAGGAGAAACCCCTGAGCATCGCCAGGTGTGATCCAAAAAGCAAAAAAAAAAAAGAAAAATGTTACTCTGGGCAGTATAGGAGTATAAGGCACCTAAATTTGGGCATATGCTGGGAAGTCAAAAGAAAAAAGACATAATTAAGAGATGAAATAAAAACAGTTTCAGAGTAGATGGAGAGTAAGAAACAGAAACAGACCAAAGATAGAAAAGTTAGTTGTAAGAAGAAGGAACACAGCCCCTTCTAAAATCATTGAAAAATAGGTGGAAACCTGGAAAAGCTCAGAGGTCTGGGAGAAACTGAGAAAGATCACACAAACATCTGTTCTATGCTATGAAGTCATCACACAGAGCTTCAGATTCAGAGTCCAAACTAAAAAGAAGATGGTTTTTCAGTTTCTTTTAAGAAGCTAAGGAAGAACAAATAAACTGGCAAAACAAAAAAGTCACAAAAAAGTTCCATTCTTCTCTCCATGATACTGTACATTTCGGATGTAAGAATAATCACACATGGGCCAGAGTGATAGTACAGCTGGTAGGGCGCTTGCCTTGCACATGGCAAACCTGAGTTCAAGCCCTGGCATCCCATATGATCCCCCAAGCACTACCAGGAGTAATTCTTGAGTGCAGAGCCAGGGGTAAACATTGAACATTAGTGGGTGTGGCCCAAGCCCCCCATCACCCAAAAGAACAATCCCATATCCAAAATTCTTTAATACACATAATTGCATACTTGTATAACTTTATTTTCCTTTTATTCAGGTGTCATTACAACCACTTTTGAAATAATGCAATTGAGCTTCCATTAAATACAGCATAAGAATTACCAAGAAAATTCTAAAGTGCAAAATTAAGATCAAAAAGGAGAAATACAGTAATCATACATTATTAGACAAGATTAATGTGAAGAACTATCTCTTCAAACAAATGTAATAAATGTTTTTCATCCTTGACAAGTGGCAGTGAGACATATTTTGATACAACTTTTTTTCATAGTGGACATTTTGTAACTAAATTAAAACATGTTAAGCACCTTCAATCTAGTACACTTAATTATGCTGTCATCTGTAATGTTATACTGTATCAACTCAGCACAGATTGCAAATGGTAACACGCCATTTTTTGAAACGTAGTTTTCCAATAAATTAGAAAATTACAAATGTTAATCACTACTATTATAGGACACATCCTATACTGGATTAAACAGTAATTCAGTTTTTACATTGGGAATTAAATGCTTTCTAAAAATTTATCACTAATACATATTTACTTGCTTGTAGTACTGAAAAAGTTAACAAGCTTACAATGATTTTTGTTAAACTGAATGTTTAAGCTAGTGGATCCTCTTTTTAAAAGAATTAAACAGTGACAGAGACAAAAGAAAAAGAGAAGGTATAAATGTGCTTTTACCTCTCGTATTTCATGGCCAGCTCCTCTGTATGATTGTAAGTCCTCTAAGATGCCTTCTGCATCTTTTAATACTACATTCACCTGATTATAAATTTCCTTCTCAGACTCTGTAGGCTGGGCATCTAAACATCAGGAAAGCACAAGAAATTTTATAGTCACAAGATTTCTTTTTGGCATATATATATATAAAACACTAAGTATTAATCTAATTTTCTGATAACAAAGATTTCATTCAATGGTAATTTAGCATTTCTTAGAAAATAATGATAGTCTTTCTACAGATCTATGTACCAAAAAGAAGCAAGGGAACCCCAAATACTACTTGAGTTATAGATCATCGCTGGATAAAAACTTAAAAATGATGATTCAAGATTTAAATTGGGATAGCATTAACAATCACTTTTCCTTTTCCTGCAATATTACTCATCAGTATCAGTAATGACTATATGTGTACAGATAATGATCCATCTTAATGAAACAGAAAAGTCTACCAACTGGACTAATTTCTGACAAGAGTCATTTTAATGACTAAATTTTGATATAAAAATGTTAGGAAAATAATTTTTTGGTGCTCTCTTTTCTGGGAGTCATTTTAAATAGTATTCCAATGAACTTCACTGCTGATGAATCTAAGAAGCTGATGAATACAAGGAGCTATGCAAAAGATTTAGAAACTGCTCCAGAATTAGTAGGCTGCTTAAAACCAGACACCTTTAGTGCTGCAATATTAGCACTAAAGAACTTTAATTCTAAAATTTCTACAGACCTGAAACTGAGAGGAACATTAAGGAAAGTTATAAAAAGGATAAATGAGGAACACAAACATATGGGCATCCCCACCACCTGTGGTGGAATAAGCCACCAAATGTTAAAATTTGACTAAATCAGGATTTTTCTGACAAGCTAGAAGAAATCCTGTTTATAATAACTTGGTCACCTGTTCCTCTAAAAACAAATCTTTTTATCTAATATAGTAGATATTTTTTTGAAATTGAGTTTTTCATAATTCACTCCACCTAGATCCCATTCAATACTAAAGATAAGGCATAAAGCACTTTAAATTATAAACATTATGATTACCATAATGTTTTAAAAAGAAATTGTGCTAACATAGTTTCAAAATGCTAAAATTTTCTCTTATAGAAGGATGGGAACAGACCAAATTGATAATATGAATTGAGAGTATTTCTGTTAAATATCTTTTCACTCATTTAAAGCTTGTCTGCACCCAATTCACCTTCCTAAAAATACACAATTATATACTTATTCCTTTTGTAGACATTTTAAAAGAAACTTGTTTTTACATATAAAACTATTAGTCAAGATGACTAAAAACTGTATATTAACTTTATTCTCAGGAAAAGTGATAACTCAGTTCCACCCATGAAACCTGCCAATTGGTAAAATACATGAATGTAAGCAATATACTCATTTTTAATCAACAATAACAATTTTTAATTCAACAGTTATAACAGCACTCACAGCAACAATGGTAAAGTAACATTCACTGTGCAAAGTCAAATTAAGGATTTATAACCTTTTATGTTCCCTTGTTTAAGTTTCTTTCAGAAATCATGGTTTTGTTTTTTAATGAAAATGCTATGTCAATATAATTATACAAGAAGCCAATTGAAAAACTAAAAAAACTCTATACAAAACCATAGATACTGTGTTACTAGAAAATACTAAGAACGAGTATTGTAGCTAAATGATTTTTTAAAGGTCAGAGTTCGTCATTTAGCGGTAATATTTATCTCATTTAGCTAGAACATATTCTCCTAATAGACACATTCTAAAAAGTACGCCTCTTAACTGTTATACTTACACCAGATGCAGTAGGAAAAAAAAATACTTTTTACATGCAAAAACAGCAGTTTTATACTTTTCATATGGAAATGTGAAACTACAGACATAACATCAATAAGTTGACACATATCATAATTTGAATTCATGAAGTGGGAATTCATGACAAAGGACAGTATTTTGACTACTACAAATCAAAAAGTGTTCTGAAGCTTGAAAAGTATTAAGCTATATATTTCTGTTGTGGTGCCTAGCTGGTAACAGAAAAATGTGACACTGAAACATACAAAAGAAACATTGTCAGGTAGATTTACATAGACCTTGGAAATGTTTAATAGCTGTTAATGGCTTAGTAAATACCAAGAAATTTAAAAATAAAGAAAATTCAGTCTCCCCAAAGGGCAAAAAAAAAGAAGGTATTCAGCACCACACTGATTAAACATTTTTTAAGACTGTCACAGGAAAATCACATTGATAATTTTGAAAGCTGCTGAAGACTGCTGTAGAAATGAAGACAAACAGAAAATAGCAGACAGGTAAGCACTACTTTACTGAGAGCCAAGTCATGCAAAAGGGTGAAACACTAGGGAGAGGAAAAGGCTGCAAAAATAAAGCTCCCCCCACTCCCAAAATGCATCATATAATGCACCAAGACTTGTCACTTTGATTTTTCATAGCAAGAATAAAAATTTTTATTACCTGAAGAAAGAAAATGCTGCACATAGCTAACAAAGACTTTAAATTTGAAAATAATGTATGCACTACTGAGGCTAGGTATAGTGATTATCAATAATTTTGTCAATAATTTTAACTTAAAAATCATTCAAAGGAAACTAAAGCATGTTTCAGTTGCTTTTACTGTTTGAAGGCAAAAACTGAGTATTTCAATAATTTCACAGATTTCCTATAGGAGTCACTGAATGTAACTATTAAAACTGAAATTGTTATGGTACAAAGGGAAGCAAAGAGCAGTTATAAAATGAAAAGGAATCCAAGTCACATACAAAAAAGGGTGCAGGAGTAGATATTTGGGCGACACCCAGTGGTGTTCACAGATCACCTAGCTATGCTTGGGTGCATATATGAGGTGCATACTGGGGATTAAACCTGAATCAGCTGTAGGTAAGGCAAGTGCCTGACCTGCTGTACTCTTTCTGGCCCCTAAAATTTTTAATTCTGATAAATCTCTCTGCTTTAATTCTGCACCCATTTGGTTCAGCAAATATTTATAATCATTTCATATTTCATAAAGGCAGGGGCCTCAATTTATAGTACACACACTGCATTGTATGCAAACTCAGCAAATAGTACATTTCCTTTAATAAAAATGTTTAATGAAAGGAAGAGATCTAAATAGGCCTCCAATATGAATTAAAGGAGGAAGCCATTATGCACCATAAGTTATCTCTGAATATATCATTTTAGAAAAATATAAGTAAAATGTCATAAAAATAAATCTCGAAGTACAGGACAAAAAGCACTTGAAAATATACGAGATAATATGGAAAAATAAAGCTGGTTAAAATAGATTATATTTTAAAGATGGGGCAGTGGAAAACAGATAACACAAAAGACACAAGAATTAGAGGTAATACGTAATGGAAAGGCACTAAAACAAAGAATAAGCAGAAGATTCTATTTCTCATACACAAATAACCTATTATTTACTCTTTGTTCTATGCTACATGGAGTATGTAAATAAAGGTTAACTAACACGCACTGAGCTTCTATCATTTATTAAAGCACTAAGATTAGCAAATATGAAGGTTAGGAAGGAATATAAAAAAGTTCCTCTTCCAAAAATAAACATTTAGTGAATAAATGTTCACTTAAAAGATCTGTCACTACAATGTGTTATAAATTGGCAATGTCATTATTTTTTTTTAAAGTCCCAATTCAGTGCTTTAAATATGTTGTGATTAGTATAATTACTGCCAAAACTGGTGGGCAAAGTGAGTTTTATACCTTAATTGAATTACCACTGTTAAAATATAAAATCTTATATAGGTATAATTTGCTTTAAGAAAAGTTTCTTTTTCTAGTGTCTCAAAAGTAAAGATAATATATTTCACTGAATATAGAATATAGAATATCATTTTATGCTTTAAGGTCTATGTACCTGTTCTACATACAATGTTGCTAAATAGTCTGAAAAATTCCACTTTACTCTTCACAATCTAATTTAAATATCATCATAAACTCTTCCATGATGTCCAATCTACCCACTGCCATGTAAAGTGATCCCTTTCTGATCTACACCTTGAATGTCAATTCAACAAAACAGTTTGCCTAGAACTCCCCAAGGCAGGGAATACTTAGATTGTCATCTCCAGCAGTTACTGGCTGGAATACAAGACCCAAAAAACAAAACAAGAGCCTTAAGAGTATGTTGAACCCAACCAAGGTGATTTAAGTCTAAAAAGGTAATGACAATTTAAAACCTGCATTTTTTACTCTAAGGGATTCTATTAAATCCTATTTCAAATGCATTAGTATGGCTCAACTGTGTACAGTTAATGCAAAATGTTGTTATATTATGTAAGGAATTAATAGTTGCCCACCAATGGTGGTATACAGAGCTGTATTTAACCAATTAGAATGATAGAAATAGTAAAATTAAATTATTCTGGTAACCAGGATACTCCTGTTCATCAAAAAATGAACGATATAGCATTATATAATGTATAATTAAAGAAGACTACTTTATTCTAAGAAATAAGTATTGGCAAACCATCTGTTGGCATTCTGATTCTAGTATAAAAGAGCTTAAGAACAGACCCATCTGATGGGCTATTGTCACTATAGTAACCTAATGATAAGGTACACTTTTATAAACATGTATTTCCAAAAGGAAGAAAAATTTGCGACTAGTGAGATATAAATCTAAGCCAAAAAAAAAAAAAAAAAGAAACCAAGCTCTGGTCCAGTCTACAGTGTGCTTTTATTAACCTACAATGTACATTTTAAACCAAAGTTCTCTTTTTGACTGACAAGCAACAAGTAAAAAAATTAAATTACTATCTACCTCTAGGAAGATAACCCTTTAAACACAGTTAATATCTTTTTTCTGACATTAAATCAGTTCCTAAAGTTTTAAGGACAATGGTCCAAACCCTCACATGGAGGAAAACCAAGCTTAAATTTTATTTTAAATACACTGAATCCATGCTTCTCACTTGACCGAAATATAATACTAGGTTTATAGATCAAGTGCCAAGTCTTGAACAAGATCTTGACTGTATGAAAGCCAAGATTCTGCAAATGTTAAGAAATTTGGGACAAAGAGTAAAAAAAGACACAGAATAGCAGAAAAATATATAAGACCAAGTTTGAAACAGATGCAAATAAACTAAAGTATAGCTCTAATGTAAGTTGCCTCTCTGAAAGAATAATCTTCAAATCAGCAATCAGCTCAACATCCCAAGCTGATTAAAATTCATGCTAAACATGCACTTAAAATAGCACTGTTAAAATTGTTGAGAAGGGTCAAGAAAACTACCATTCATTTAATAAGACTTCCCCTAAAACTAAACAATTTAATATGGTCCTGAGAGTGACATTTGCTAATCTGTACACAATACCCAAAATGTAACAGAATACTTACAGAAACTATAAAAGTAGATAAACATCAGAGACCATAAATTATTACATAAAATGAAGATAAGCTATAAACAGATTGTACTGTCCTGATTTAATGGAATAATATTAATTATTCATAAAATTGAATGACACAGACTAAAACAAAACTGAAGTTGACAAAAATGCAGTCTCTCTGGGAATTTATGGGATTTGTTTTTAAAAACAGAAAGGTCATAAATTTTATTTATTTTATGTTTTAATCTCAAAAACAGAAGAGCTCATGAGATTTTATAAACTAAGGCTATATATCTCTTCACCCTTTCCTAACAATTTTCTAATGAACATTAGAAATGATCATAAATAATGATCATAAAATAGCAACATTCACACCAAAACATTAATTTAATACAATAGCTCTCAATTTGATAACAAGACAAGCTAACACAATACTGACAGCCAAAAAAGCAAAAGCTTTTTAACATGCATGGGAGTCAATGACACTTACCTGCCACTCTTAGACCATATTACAATAGGTCATGCAACATAAAACAAACAGAAGGCAAATTACTCAAAGGTCTGTGAACCCATTTTTCAAAATTTATCATTAGAAAAAAATTACTGAAATACATAAATTTCTTGGCTTTTCAGTTTATCTGCAGATTAAATAATTTAGGTTCACACTTACCTTTTAATATTATGCCCAAATTACTGAGCTCTGAATGGCCTTCATGAACAGATTTATATTTAAAATACTTCAGAAAGTAACTGAAAACTAGTCAATCATTCTCAATTGCAACAAAAATTTTCTCAAACATTGTTCATATTAACAAATCTTAAAGTGGCACTTGGCTTTCCAAAAATTTTTGTAAAATTGTTTTCTTTGTGAGAATAGGTAGCAAATTATAAATGCCCAAACAAGAGATATGAATCTCTTACAGAATTCAAATAGAAGCATTTTATCATCACAATTTAATCTATTACTTCCAGTTCTAGAAGGCACCAGAATTTTTACCCAAACAATTCATAGCTCAGTCATGCAAAGCAGTTAAAAAGATGGCAAAGTGGAAACATTCATTTAGAGCAAGACAAACGCAGTCTACTGCAGGCAAAGAGAAATAGATATAAAATCATCTTCTCACTTTCAAAATCAAGGAAAAAATTTGGCCCCTGTTCAAGGTCTGTGCATGTCAAAACTTTAAGAAGATTCCCCATGTTAAGGTACCTGTCAAGACAAGAATGAGAAAAGAGAAAATATCCCTTTATAAAAGAGAACATCTGAAATTTTTGTTTTAAAAATAGTAACAGGGAAAATGTTCATTAGGCCATGAATTCATCCTTCAGGTTACCCAGACTGTGCTCTGGTAGACAGCAAACCGGGTTCTCAAGTTGTTGATATGTAGGACCTAGAGGTGAAATGTGGTTTTCCTGTACACAATGGCACAACTGTTGCTCTACTTCTCAAAATTCTCCTAAGACAAGTTTCATTAATGGCCTTATAATGAAAAATTCTTTAAGTATTCCAATAGTGTTAGTATTCTGAAAAAGAAATTTCTAATAAAAGATTATTCACATGTTTAATATTCACGTGTTTAATAGTACACTGAAACAACAATTTATTTCAAAGCCAAATGTTAAATTCTGGCAATAGTTCACTATTGCATTTCATCTTGAAATTGCGAAATATTAAACTTACTTCCTAAATGCCAATAAATACAGCATATACTTCTAACCAAATTCAGATTATTAACAATTTGTGCAAGTGACTTAAACTACTGTTCCTGGGTATGCAGCACAACTGTGATTTTTTTCAAATAAAGTTGTTATATATACATATATCAGGATTGTAAGCACAGAAACTGCTGGTGTAGTCACTAAGGCATACTATTAGAATGTTCATCATAAGGCTATTTGCTTCATGGACTAATGAAAGGACAGTACTGGCTACAGACTCAACATGACTTTAGCAAATGAAAAACTAAAATTATACATATGATGGTGATGCTTGCCTACGATTGAGAAAAGTCATGCAAACTTTGTTTGATCCCCATATTTTATTAACAAATATTCTGGCTGGCCTTCACTGTGGTGTGAGTATAATTAATCTTTCACCTTTACCATTATGCACCAGCTGTGAAGGGCTAAAGAGACTTACTTTCAAAGTCCAAGAAAAAATGTGCTGCATTGTGGTCTATGTCCCTGGTTAGCACCTTAATGAGATTACCCATGCCAGCAAACCTAAAAATAAAAATGGCAACATCATTTAGTTCCAGTAAAAAAAATTTTAGCAGAGGCCTGGGATTCGGCAAAGGCTGGCTTGCTCATAATTACCAACAGGTGCAGGTTTATATGCTTTTGGCATTGAAAATTTAGAACAACCAAAGCACATTTGGCCTGAGTTTATAGTTCTTTTCCCTTTTTTTCACATATCAAAAAAAGTTATATAAAGATTGGAAAAAGATTATATTTTTACATAAAACTGGCAATATTTGCATATGATTAATATCTGTACTTGTGTCATTTCTTTAAATGTTGGAGGCATTATCAATTCAACATCAAAATTAAATTTGTGAATTAAGCAAATACTGAGACCATTACTTTTTAAGTAACAGGGATTTTTTTCTTCTGGCAGAATTAAATACTAATTGGGAATAAAGCAAGGTAGCATTGAAACCACATTTAACCATTAAAAACTGAAGGAAGTTATTAATGACCAGATTTAAAAATTTTTACCACATAAATACTTCTTACATATTCCTTACTCCTAAAATTAATCAGCTATATATTATTTAACTCTTAGTTTGAATATTCAACAATGTGTTCTATGAACAACCATATAAATATGAAATTTGATATTAACAAAGAAAAAAGCATAAAGGTAACCAGCAATACCCACAATCTAGTAAAAACACAGAGGAAAACTGGTAAAATCCAGACACTGGCAAAAATCTCGCCCCCATATTTGTCATGGCTCAGAGAAGATGAAGGCAGAAGATGTCATGAAGATCTAGAAAACCAGGTCCTTGAAAACTGCAGTAACTACAGGAAGGCATACTATAGTACCATAAGCATCCATCTCCAATCTCAGTATTTTCTGTGCAAATATGAACTGCTGGCAAGTGTAAGTAAAACAAAACATAAGAGGAACAATATTTTTATCAACAAAAAGAAGATTCCTACTCACCCAATTAGATATTCAAAAAGAGCCCTGCTACTCTCTGCTCCCCCATGTCTTCCGCATATTACTGAACAGCATAATGTTACTAATGGTCAACTCCCCGTTAAATACACAGGGGTACAAGCCAATCTATTGATAAAGCAGTTTGATGAAATGGTACCTATCTAATTCATTTGCACATATGATAGACAAAAGAAAAATTCCTCTCTAGTAAAAAAATATTACCCCAGGCCTGTTCTTCAAGCCTGTGTTCTCCCCCTTGAACATGTATCTTGATTGATTGTCTTTTTACTTTTATTTATTTTCTTATTGAATCACTGTGAAGATAGTGCATTACAAAATTGTTCATGACTCCGTTTTAGTCATATAATGTTCCAATATCCATCCCCTGCACCAGTGTAAGTTTTGAGCACCAGTGTCCCCAGTTTCCTTCCCACCCCAGTGGGATGTAAAAAACAAAACAGTAAGACACTAATATCCAGTTCCAGGGAAAATAGGCCAGGAAGGCTTTTCTCTTTTATGTCTTTGCTTTTCCCAACCCTGGAGAAGCCTCTGTTCTCTCTTGAACATATATTCCTCTCCTTCTCTCCTCTCATATCTAAGTAGGTTTCACTCAATAAAAAGTATCTTGCTTCACCAAAAACAAAGCAATTCCCCCAGAAATAGAGATATAGCTTAATCATTTTTACATGAAAATCCATCTTAAAAGGAATTTTAAAGGAGTGATCTGTATATTTTATACAGATGAACTGGCTTGAATGAGGGCTAAGGTGAAAATGATTTGGTATTTATTATTTCTATGTATTGTAACAGAGTGCGGGGTGGGGAGATAACTCAAAGGACTGGAGCACATGCTTGGCAGAAGGGCCCCAGCAAGGTAGCATCACTACAAAGGCCACAAAACAGATTCAATACTAACATGCTTTTATACATAAATGATAATATAAAGATCTAACATATACTCCCAAACCACCACATCCAAGAAATCTCCACAAACTGATTACTGTCTTTATTTACTGAGTCTTTATCAATCAATAACTTTCAATGTTCTAAATAAGAGTAAATCAGAAGGTCCATTTTTAACCCATTTTATCATGAATACTGCTGAAATACTACCATAAAACTAATCCTATGAGTAGAAAACCATCATTAGATCCAGCACAGTCCCAGAAAGAAGGATGTGCCTGATCTTCCTTACCTTTTCACATGTTTTACTTTTTTTTTTCCCCCCCTTCAAGGGAAACAGGAAATACATTTCCTGGTATAAACACTGTCTACCATTTAATCTCTTTTGAGGCACTCTGCAACCCTATACTTTGTGTAGTACTTTGGAGTATAAATACTTCAACAATTATATTTCTTAACTTTTCATCCCAACCATAGACATTTAATTTGAAAATAACCCAGTTTTTTTTCTCAATCAGGAAATGATTACTATTTGGATCTAGAAAATTCTGCTGGATCTAAGAAATTCCTTAGTTAAGGAAATTCTTACATACATTGTAGGGTCCTTGGCAGCATGCTGGGCCTGTATACGCTAAACTTAGTTTCTTAAACTATGGACTGTAATATGGGATCGTGCAACTAATTGAGGAGAGGTAAGACACAAAAGTATTAGAAATAGTGAAAGGTTTCTGAATGCACAATGACCAAAAATTAATTCAAAACCAACTGCATAATGTATCAATCCATGGGGTTTCTGGCAATGCTCACCCATGTTCATTTCTTAGGCAAAAGGGATTATGAGTGGGAAAAGTTCACAAAGTCCTTGCACCAGATGTCAATGAAAATCTAAAAATCCACCATGTAAGTTGTGACAAGATAGTTTCAAATAATATGGCCCCTGGGGCAACATTACCCACTTGAAAACCACTAATGCTATATGACTATGGCCCAGTGCAGATATTCTCTCTACCATACTGCATGTGCAGTGCGACAGATGCTATGTAAGCAATCGCTATCAGGCTGCTTCAATATTTCACTGAACAAAGTTTCAAAATATTTTTCAAAGATCTGAAAATAGTCCATTATCTATTAGGATACGTTTTTATAAGGACGAATAAAAAAACTGAGACCACTGTTACCACTGAATTATTTTAATTCTCTTTTTAAAAAGGGAGGCTTTGGGCCCACCCCGAAGCAGTGTTCAGGGCTTACTCCTGGCACTACACTTGAAGATCATTTCAAGGCAGTCAGTGCTTAGAAAACCATATGGGGTGCCAAAAATGGAACCAAGGTTGGTCATGTGAAAGGCTGGCCCATTGGACTCTCTCTCCAACCCACATAGTAATTCTTTATCAAAGAACCGGGAACACAAATTTCAATCTCTCTCAATATAAGTGATTTCAAATACATGATATAAATCTGATGGACAACTCTGGCTAGAAGCAGATAAATTCCTGGTTTGAACCCTGTTTTGCCCCTTTCACATTAAATTTGTGACGTTAGTCAAATTTCCTAGTTTATTCATGCTTCAAGTTCTTATCTATAATAAGGTAAGAGTCTATAATAAGGTATACGGTGGAGGGTTCATAATGTCACCCAATGGATTAATATAAGCAAAACACTGAGTACTCCACGTAGGAACCTATTTGCTGCTTTACCATGGCTGTGGGTAGAGGTACAGAATTCACCTACTGAACCTGTTCCCAGAAGCACAACCTGTGGAATGGGAAACTGTGTGTGGCAGCCATATTTCCTACCTTATGTCTGAAATTCAGTCATAAACAGCTTTGTAATGGTCTACCTCATGGTGATTCAATAACAAAATTATCTTAATGCAACATTGTTTATCAAATTATATAAAACTTGAGTTTAAAATACTATTGATTGGGCCAGGAATGTGGCTCAGCAGTATAGTATGCTTCATGTGAGCGGCCCTAGATCAATCAATAATACTAAAGAGTACCATGAATATACTTTACTAGTATTTTACAAGTACTAGTTCAAAGTAATATATATTATAATTTAGAATTTCAAAGTCTTACAACATGAATTTAAGAGGAAAAGTTAAAGAATTCAAATTTTTAATGTCCTTAGTAATATCTGACACTATCTGAGAACAGCTATTGGTGGCTACAAATGGGTCCTAGTACCTGGTATCACTTAGCATCCTAAGAACCTAAAATGTGCAAGTCAGTCTTGCCACAAAAACCCCATGTTCCCACCATACCACACAATCTTGCTTGACTTTTTAATAGCAAAAGTTGTCAAAAAAAGCTGCTAGTAGTTACTTCCTTCTACTTTTTCACCTCTAGTTTCCATTCTGGCTTTTGGAGGCCCACTGCTTATAATGAAGTTCCCCTTGCCAAGGTCACTGAACTGTGCATTTGGCTAAATCCACAGGGAAAGTCTCATGCTTTAACTTACTGGACCTCTTAATAAAATCTAACCCAGTTCATCACCTACTCAGAACTGAGAAGCTTTCTTTCTTGTAGGTTTCCTTCCTACTTTATGGTTAATCATTTTCTGTATCATTTCCCTTAGCAAAGATACAATTATTCTTTGCCTATTTAAAAAAAAAATCTATCTTGACTTTACTTCCCTTATCAGATCCCAACCTATTACATTTTTCTGTTGTAAAATATGTTTAAAATAAAACCTACATTCTTCTTTTATTACTTCCTTCCCTTTTCCACTAAACTACCCCAATATAGCTTTTAGTCCAACCATCCACCACCAAAATTATTATGGCAAGTCATCAACTAACTTATATGTGATCAATTCTAACTGTCTATTATTTTCAAGTTCTTATTTCACCTGTAAAGAGCACCTGACAGAACTTCCAATGGTCTATTATTTTCACATTCTCACCTTACTTCGCCTGTCATGAACAACTGACAGAACTGACAATGCATCTTCCTCAATAAACTTTCCTTATTGGCTTTAAGGATGTCCTTACCTCCCCTATGGCTTATCAAACTGCTCCTTATTAGCAAGATTACTTCCAAGTCTTCAAACGGTCTCCTTCCTACTTTGCCTTCTTATACAATTTCTTCTTTTCATATGCCAAACCAATCTTTTAAAATCAAAAACTCTTTCTTTATAAAACCATGCACGG